ATAAATATGTAGAAGAGCAAATAAAAGCTCAAGCCTCGAGAAACTATGTGTGTGTGTGCTTCGCCTAACGAGTGATTTTCCGCACAAGAAGCCGAATCGCTTTTCTATTGCGCCACACATAAATGTTTGCATCGGGTGAAAAATTGCCAGCCAGAAGCTTGGCGCTGCAATGCAAGAATGTCAATGGTAATGATGCTCTCTCCGCAGTCGTACAGTTAGTGCAGAAGAGATGCTCTCACATGGGCCCAAGAATTGCAACATTGGACTCATTCGTCCATTTGCAGGCCACCAAATGGCAGGTGATGAGCATTTTATTCTCCACCATTGCCATTATCATTTGCCTATGCACTTGTATTATTCAGATGAATGACCATTATTGCATCAATTTCTATTAAGTCTCTCCATTTCAATTCTTCGTCGGCCTGTATGTTTGTCATTCGCACACACTTTTCTTTCATACGTCATTCCAAGAGAAGAGATTTACGGCAATTTTCCCCATCATCATCACTTTCTGCACAATCCGACATCTCGTTTGGTGGTCACTTCATCATGGAAAAAGTATAATTGTGCTTCGCATAGAAGCATTTCTGACAAAGAACACACTTCGCACCAATTTTTTTCTCTCAGTACTGTGCAGAAATTCAAATAAACGTTCGTCGTCTCACTGAACCAAAATAAATCGTATATTATGTATTATAGGTAAAAAGGATCAAATAATGCGAAGGAAAAATAAAGTAATGGTACGATGACAAGTTCTCGATTGCATTGCAATCGCAGCGAGAGTGTCTCTATTGAAAATTGCCATTGGAATCGTGTGGCTGTGCGTTCTGTATGTGATCATAATTTGCATATTTTGCACACTGCTGCACCTCACCACGTTCTCAAACCTGAAATTCCAATCTTCACATGACAAGTGAAGATCATTTTTTACCGCACGAGAAGCACAGATCGAAAGGGCGAGACCGAAGAAGGAATGGCCACGGTAAAAAGAAGCATCACCGTGAGGAGTCGACGAATTGGACAATCTGCTTCTCACTTGACCATTTGTCTGGCTATTCTGTATCATTTAGAAGATTCGCTGCATCTGTTTTGCCACGGAGGCGAACTTTCCCGTGGTCGCGGCTCAGGTGTCACATTACCAGAACATCCCATCATCCACAAGGTGGACGATCGATTGGGACCTTTAATGCTCACCCAGCATGTTTCTGGGCACCAACCCATGAGCGATCTGCGCAATTCTGGCACGTGATGGGTAAAAACATCGGGTTTGAAGATGATAATTTAAAAACTGCAATTTCATAAGCTAAATTCACGTTCACGGTAAAATTTTTATGTCTTTTCGAAGCCCCGGAAGAATGCACCTTTCGAAATCGCATTTATCAATCAAGTGAGTGCGAGAGATTACTTTTCGCCCAGAGAAACACGACCTCAATCAACTGCAAAAATCACCAATAATTGAACATAAAAATCTTTATAGATACTTTTCTTATGCGCCAGGGACACCTATAAAACTCTGGCTCTCATGACTTTCCGCGCAACTCTGTGATATTCACATAAAAGTCCAGCAAGATTTGTGACAATTTTTTTTGTTCTCCCCAATCTCACACAATCTGCAACAAATTGGACCATTGCCGTGTTGAAATCGCCATGAGTTTTATGTATCCAAAGTCGTGAAATTTAATCAAAAACCATATTTTGCGACAATCATAAATATTGAGGAGTTTTTCAGTGGAAAAGTTTGTTATTTTCCAATATTTTGCATCAACAGTTTCACCAAGATTAAGGAGTGGATTAATTTAAGTGCCCTCCCTGTCATCACGCAAGCAAATCAATAAATCTACCTTGTCAATTCGACATTTCAATGCATAACAGTTCACCACAAAAGCCGTGCAGACATGATAACACTACATTGTATCACCTATTATTTCACATCGGTAACAAATTATCCCTCAAATAGCAATAATCTCAAATTATTCATAAAGTGTTTGCAATTAGCTGTGTAATAAGATAATCATCTTGTGTAATTAAAGAGATTCATCACGGTAGAGCTCCCATTTGTTTATAGGACTTTAACGGAATGGTGCGCGGCTTCTCACCAAGAAAACAACAGCGCAGAGCGCTTTTCATCTCCACCAGTGAGAAAAAGAGGGTTTTCTCGAATGGTAGTCCTCGGCGAGACCCATTAATTTGCAATTTAGATCAATTGTGCAATAAGTTGAAAGGTTGGATGTATTGAAAAAGCCACGAAGAGACCCCAGTTTCTCCTAGTCAATATTGACGTGGCCTTGTTGTGCCACTTTGCATCATATCTGGACACTCAATTGATTGATCAGGCACGGAGGTGAAAAAGGAGCTCAAGCCACCGTTGAGTGCTCTGCCGTTTTCTGCGTGATTATTTAATTAATATGTGCATATTGTGAATCGAAAGGTAGCCATCAACACAGTTCGCTCGTCCGTTATCGAATTGCAATTGGAAATTCTATATCAAAGCTTCCCCACATGATGGTGGTCACCACGGGACAAAAGGCGGCCCCCAGTAATTACTCCATCGGGAATTGAGAAGAAGCACTATATTGGATCCACCGTGCATAATAATCTCGGCGGAATGCCTTCCCGAGCAAAGACACTCCATCGAGTGTCAAAGTGCCTGCCTCTTCAATTGCATGTGACAAGATAATCTCTTCATGCACTGACATTTCGACACTCAACATACACACGCCTCAATTTAAATACAATGCGCCCCACGTTCAAGTGAAGAAGCCCCCAAATTTCGAGGAACCAAAACGTAATTGGTTGAAGCCCCCAGTCAAACGCCAACTTCCGGGGTATGCTTTTTGGGCTCTTTCTCGCAATGGCATGCGGAAAATTTTGTTGTAAATTAAAACTGTCTGTTTTTTCATCTGTGAGAAAATTATAATGTTACGCCTAACATTATCAATTTCTTGTTCTTTTGTGTCTAACTCTAATATTAATCTCTAAAACCCTTAGCCAAGGGTCAAATTTGAATATACGAAAAAACAAGTGACTCCAAATTTAGTAATGAAACACCGATCTAGAAATTTTTTTATAGTAAAGAAAAAAATCAGCACTAAAGGCATTTCTAAGCATTTTATGAGACATGATTAGATCTTCTGCTACTCTCTTCATTTGTCCTGCTTCAGAGGTTCACCGAAGCCACATTTGAGCAGTGTATACAAGAAAGAATATTTGCAATGTGGCGCTGATGGTGAAGAATGTCTGTCGAGGCGTCATATGGTGTTCCCCTCCCACAGACCATTTAATACCTCTCTTCTGGCCACTTCAACCTCAAAATGTAACTTATTGATGAGCGCAGAGACTCATAGACAGGCCATCTTCTGACCATCAACATCAATATTCGTGTGTCTTTTTCTCATCTGCCGTGTGTGTGCCTCCAGCATCTCACGCGGAGAGAGAAAGATTTTCATGAGTTGGCCTCTCTCGCGAGGGGAAAAGAATTCTGCTGGAGACTGGTTAGTTGGTGCCTGGGTCTGGTGGACTAAAGTGAATTGGCATTTCTCGGTCATTCATCTGATTCTGAGAAGGTCCAAAATGAGCATCTATGCTTATTTCATCTCACTCACTCTGCGTCTTCTGCTCTGCCAGTATTTACCTCAAGCACACATATACTCGAAAACTATAACCTGCTCAAGGTGGTAAATTAAACAGTCTCTTATATGCCTCCTCTTCAGCCGCACACCTTCCCTTTCCCATCCACCATTGCGCACTCTTGCGCTCTCTCAACAGCAGAAAAGAAACCCACCTTTGATACCAAATGAATGTAAACGAAGCGCTTAACAATTTGAAAGATTTAAAACTCGAAATCATTGTACGTGTGCGCCATGCATAATCCCTTCAGTTCTAATTACTGGGACTTTGTGTAGGAATTTCTCGTTTTCAATCCCTCTCACACTCGAGAATTCTTACATCAACACCACAAATCCCCCCCCCCCCCCTCCCTTCTCCCAATGAAGTGGGCTCCGGAGAGCGGGGAGCCTCAGTAAAAATTCTAATGTAACATGCGTATGATTTATGATATTCATCGGAAGAGAGATGCGAGGTGCACAGAATCTCCCAGAAGACAGACAAAAAGACCATCGCGCGAGCAACTGTCCGCGGGTCCATATGAAATGTGATTCTTATATGCTCAGCCACAAGACAGCTTTGAATAATATTCAAAACGTATAGGATTCTAAATTTCTGCTTTACTTCCAATAACTGTGACCACTTGCCGAAAACCATCAACGGTGGACACGCAAAAAAGGTTACAATTACATGGATGTCGCGCTTTATTAGTTTGATTTCATCAGAGATTATTCATAATTTTTGTCTTTTGCGTCCCAACAGCTGTAATTTATGATGGGCAATATTCTCTCGTCGTGTCTTCGCGTGCCATGGGCCTCCCTCTCAAAAATCGAAAAGAGATCACTGAGATATTTCCGGCAACGTGAATCTCCCAAATGATCAATTTGGCACGGAATGGCGAGCGGCATATGGAAAAAGGAAGAACGAACCGTGGACGTACAGTTTTTTGTCCACGATTGCGCGCCCCGATCAGTTGTGACTTTGTGCGATAATTTGCAATGTGCTTTGTAATCTCCAGTGAAAATCCTAATGATCTCTCTTCGCGATCGTGCGATCAATTTTTTCCGGTGGGGGATCTATTTATAATCTCATAGGCCAGGGAATAGGAGGTGGAAGAGGAAAAAAATGACAAAGAATGTTGTCGTGGAATTTCAAGCAATTCATCGCGATGGATTTTTCCTCACGATCGCTTTTCGATCAGTTGCAGTAATTCTGTGATCTTGCGCGATCATTCGGGTCTCTTTTTCCACAATACTTTGCTCTCTCTTCCTTATGCCGACCGTCCCGGTTGAGTTTTATGGTGCACGATCGCTTAAGATTATCATGTGATCATTTGTGATGATCAACGATATTAGGAGAGGGAGGAAAGGGCAAATAAAAAAGGAAGATGGACTCACCTTTGTGCTGGACGTTCTCGGCATGCCACCGATGCTGATGGCGTAAACCTCCACAACGTACGTATCCACCCCTGATTCACGATCAAGTTCAGCGGCCGTGGAAAGTATTCCGAGTTTGGTGTCGATGTCAAACAAACGATCCATTTGTCTGCCATCCCCAGTCACATTAGTCACATAGTATTCAATTTCACTGGACACAGATGAGTCGAGGCGCGCCACAACAGTGAGAATACTCGTACCCGCCGGTTCATTCTCAAAGACACTACCGAAAAAGTCCCGATTGTCAAACACTGGCCCATTGTTCATGCCACCACTCGCGATTATTGTCACATAGGCATCGCTGCTCTTGCGCTCACTCTGCACAGCTTCATCTGTCGCCTTCACGGCCAATTGATATCGCGTCTCTGGACTTGTGATCTGCTTCCGCAGCGAAATGGCACCTGTACTCCTATGCAATTTGAATAGCTCCGTATTTCCGCTCACCATCTCATACGTGACAAGTCCATTTGTACTTGAGTCAGCATCGCGGGCATTCACGTGCATTATCACGGCACCATCACGTCCAGGTGACACTCGGATGTCTTTCAGCGGCAGTACCGCGGCATTCATTGACACAAACACGGGAGCATTGTCATTCACATCTTCCACTATCACCGTCACCAATTTCTCCGCTGATAGCCGCTGACCTTCTGCCTGATCCGTCGCCACCACAGTCAATCTAAACGTGTCGATCGTCTCCCTATCAATGGCCCGCAGCGTATGAATCACACCCGTATTGGCATTGATTCCAAAGTGCCTCTGCCCATTCTCGGGATCCTGATTCGAAATCGCATATGTGACTTTTCCATTAGCTCCAGAGTCCGGATCCTCAGCTGTGATCGTCACAATAGGAGTATTTATGGGAATCCCTTCACGAATTTGCCTCACAATCGCAGTGTTGGGAAACGAAGGTGGATTGTCGTTCGAGTCAATCACATTAACAGTGAAAAGAATCGTTGTGGACAGCCTTGGATTTCCTCCATCAGCTGCCGTTATGTTCAAAACATAAGAATTCGTATCCTCATAATCCAAGGGTTTGTGCAGAAATAGCAATCCACTCACAGGATCGATGTGGAAAGTGTCTCTGCGATTTCCTGCCGTGATGGAGAAGGTGATTTGACTGTTCACTCCAAGATCACCGTCAATGGCTTTAAATCGCATCAATTCCCTTCCCACAGGCGTCGTCTCATTTATTGAGATCTGACTATAAGCCTCCGGCTGGACAAATCTCGGGGCATCGTCATTCTCATCCAACACGTCCACAGTGATTGTTGTAGATGTGCTCAAGCGCCCGTGAACTGCTGCATCGTGAGCTACGATTGTCAATTTGTATGTCACTGTAGTTTCGCGATCCAATTTCCTGGCCACTGTTACCTGTCCCGTGGCATCATCAATAGCAAAGTGACCGTCATTATTTCCATCAGAAATGTAGTAAAACACATCCCCATTCAACCCCTCGTCATAATCAGTGGTGTACACTCTGATCACTTGAGTCCCCACCTGAGAACCCTCAGAGATCTGCACTTTGTACGGCGCCCTAACAAATTGAGGAGCATTGTCATTCACATCCGTGATGAAGATCTTCACTTTCACCTTATCTTTGAGACGCACAACACCATTATCACTCACTGTTGCCTCCAAAGTAATTAGATTGTGTCCTGTATTCTGCACGAGTGCCTCACGATCAAACTCATGGATGGTTTTTATGAAGCCATTGCGAGGATCCACCACAAAATCATTTTGAGTATTGGATAGGGTGTAAATTAACTCTGCATTTCTCCCAATATCACGATCGATGGCAGTCAATTTCCCCACGAATGAGTCCGCGGGCTCATTCTCAGGAATATGAAAGGTGAAGGTGGAATTTGTGAATTGAGGACTGTTATCATTCTCATCAATCACGTGGATAATCACAGGGACTACTGAACTTCTAGACGGGCTGCCGTGATCACTACACGCCACTGTTAGTGAGTAATAATCGCGCTTTTCACGATCCAATGGGTGCTTCACGTAGAGATATCCATCTGGGAAGATGCCGAATTTTCCCTCACTATTTCCCTCAATTATCGCATAAGAAATCCTTCCATTGGCCCCGAGATCAGCATCTGAAGCGGCTAGAGCGAAAAATCTCGCATTCACAGGCATAGATTCAAACAAGGATGTTTCGTAGGAAGTGTGATCAAAAACTGGTGTGTGATCATTAACATCCTCAATTGTGATCATAACAGTGTTCCTTGAAAACAGTGGAGGATCTCCACCATCCATAGCGGTCACTTCAATGTGCAGCACAGATCCTGGTTCCGCTCTGATCGGCCGATTAAGGTAAAGCACACCAGTGGCTTCAGAGATGCGGAACTGATCCTCAGGATTGTACGATAAGCTGTAAGTCACTCGACTGTTTATGCCCGAGTCACGATCGCGGGCACGTGAAAGATACACCTCCTGCCCAACAGCTGCATTCTCCGCTAGCCGAATCTCATCACGATCCCTCGAGAAGATCGGTTCATTGTCATTTAGATCGAGAATTGAGATGTTCACAGTTGTCTTGCCATAGGCCAGGCCACTCCTCGCCACGACGGTCAGTGAGTACACGATCGTGACTTCCCGGTCAATTTTTGTGGCGGTGCTGATGACACCGGACCTCTCGTGGATCTTGAAGTTCCCCGTGGGGTCACCGAAAACTATTGAGTACTCAATGGGCGTGGTCGTCGTGCGGACTTGCACGCGACCCACTTCACGGCCAATATTTCCCTTCTCATTGCCGTGATCCTCGTAAATTTGAAATTCATAACCGCCATATGAGTCGAACTCGAGCTCTTCCAACTTAGATTCCTTGATGATTTCCACAATGGCATCACTATCAGATCGGCGATCACCGCGATCTTTTGAGGAGATTACCAGCTTATGCAAAGGCTTTTGGGAGGTGCGAAGACTCCCCCTGAGACTCACAACACCAGTCCAATTGTCCACCACGAAAAGTCCATCGCCACCACTCTCGAGATTATACGTGACAATCGCATTGTCTCCATCGTCGCGATCCGTGGCGGTGACTTTCAACACAGAAGCCCCAATAGCTGTGTTCTCCGGCACCGATACGAAGTAGTGTTTGGGATAGAACTCGGGACTATTGTCATTCACGTCCTGCACGTGCAGCACTACAGTTGCTGTTGAAGTTTGTGGAGGAATGCCTTGATCACGCGCGATCACGTACACTTCGTATTCGGAGATCGTTTCTCTGTCGAGCTTCACTTTTGTGGTCAATTGTCCAGTCAGCGCATCCAGGGCGAAAACATCGGGGTATCTCTGTTGAACGTTGGGATGGAGAGAGTACGTGACACTGCCATTAGTGCCCTGATCGTGATCAGAAGCCGCTAACATGGCTACGAGAGTATGTGGTGGAGTATTTTCGCTTAGGCTCACGTTTATCTGCTGTTGGGAGAATTGGGGTGCCTCGTCGTTCTCATCGAGAATTGTGACTTTGAGCTGAGTATAGGCCCACTTCGGATTGGGTCCACCATCACGCGCGGAAATGCTCAGCTCAACCGTGCCCTGTACTTCACGATCAAGTGCCGCTTGAGTGGTGATCAAGCCAGATACTGTATCAATGATAAACCACTGCTTGTTATTGCCCGAGACGAAGTCATAGAAAATTTGGGCATTCACGCCAGTGTCCTCATCTGTGGCCGTGATGCTGGCTACATAAGTTCCTGGCGGAGCCAATTCGCTGAGCACAGCTGAATACTCGGATTTTTCAAACACAGGCTCGTGATCGTTTACATCATTCACGTGAATGATAAGATAAGCGGTTGCCGTTCGTGCTGGTGTGCCACGATCAGTGGCCACAACAGTCAAGTTATATTTTCCGATCTCCTCGCGATCCAGCACACCATTCACCCTTACAATATCAAAGCTAGGCGTCTTATCCAGGCGAAAATGCTGCAATTCATTGCCAGAGATGATCCTAATGCTTGTTTCCCCATTAAGCCCCTCGTCCATGTCCACCACAGATACTGCGGCCACTACAGATGCATTCGCGGCGTTCTCATCCACAGTGGCAAAGGTGCCCGTAGGCGGGAAGTACTGGAATCTTATCACGGGATCATGATCGTTAGTGTCCACCAGGTTGACCGTGACGTAGGTACGACCATCCTGGCGCGGCGAGCCATGATCGCGCGCAAACACGGTGAACACGCAACTCTTGGGACATGAGCTCGGCCGGGACAGTGTTGGGCAGTTTTGCTGGGGGCATGACAATTGCTCAGTGGTGGATATGACACCCGTTTCCGGGTCCACCGTGAATTGTGTCTCCGTCTCGGCGAGGTAATATGTAATTTTGCTGTTGTCGCCCAAATCCGAGTCGGATGCCATCACCTGCAGAACTGGTGTGCCAGGTGGAACACTCTCGTTCAGCGACACGATGTAGTCGCTGTGATCGAAAATTGGCGGGTTGTCGTTCACATCCAAAATGGTGACGTTGACCTGGAGGTAGCCATGCTTGGGTGGGGTGCCACCATCCCTCGCGGACACGTTCAGCTGGTAGAAGCCGCGGGTTTCCCTGTCCAGCTTGCCCGTGGTCTCCAGGTGTAGATAGGACACGTCTCCACTGGGGTTTGAAGTCACCGCCAAGCGGAATTTATCATCGTGATTCCCATCCACGATCCTGTAGTCATCCGTGACACTGTTTATGCCCACATCACTATCCGTGGCGGCGTCCAGCAGGAGCCTGGTGCCCGGAGCTGCACTCTCTGAGAACGACACCGCGATGCTGGGCTCTGGGAATTCCGGGGCATTATCGTTGATATCCATCACAGTGATCCTCACCTCGATGGGATACGTGGGTTGACTGGAGAGCACAACCAAGTCGTATCGATCTCGCAGTCCCTCGCGATCGAGGATGGCATTCGTCTTGATCTCCCCCGTGTTGGGGTCTAGCGTGAATTCCCGCGGTGGCTCATTGAAGCGATACGTGAAGCCGGGCTTCGTGGGAATGTAGCCCACCACCGTACCACGAGGATCACCCTCCAGCACTTCTAGCTGGATGCGAGTGTCCACCGCGCGCGATTGCATTTGCGAAGAGTAACCGTCCGAGGAAGAGCGGCGACGTGGGAAGACCGTAAGTCCCGGGCCCGGGCCCGGAACGTGAGCACCATCGAGCACCGACACTAGTTGGGCCACTACCAGGAGCGGCCAGATGGCACGCCTCATCGTGAGGGCCATGGGATGGAGGCGCCGTCCTGAGAGCGTCATAATACGTCCACGTATTGCATGAATCCCTCAAAAACATCCATCACTTTCTCATTTCAATCACACCTCTCGTTACCCTAATCAACCTAACACACCTCTGATTTATTTGTCACGATATTACTTGCAACCTGTGCTATTTCTCTCCTCCAATTATTTATCGTATCAATTTCCACACTGAATCACTCTTTCTTCTCTCTTATCCACATTTAATTGGAGGATCGATCACTCTATATCACATCAGTGATATTCGTTTTTCCCTCGATCCACACAGGAAATTCTTCTACACACAGCACTGATCGATGGGATTCAACTATGCACTGGTCAAGTGTTAGTTTAGTAGGAGGTTTTTAGTTGCAAAAAAAGAACACCACAACTGACGATGGACTATACTTTTGCCAACTACACTCCGGAGCGCGACACATTCGACTAATTCAACATTTCTTCATCGTCTGTTTCATGATTGCGAACTGATCGGGTCGAATGGTGCCTTCGTGGCCTCTCTTCAGGTGAGCCAGAGCGAGATCACACCACACACAAGCAACAAGTCTCAGATAAACAAGAACTCACTAGAAGAGACTTTACTTCTTCCTCTCATCTATGGCCGCTCTCTCGCTCAGTCATCTTGTGAGCCCGAAACCACTACACACATTTATGACATGAAAACGGGTTATGATGCTGCAGAGAAAAATGCTGCACGCGGGGCGAAGAGGTCGGCTGACTGCCCGATGATGGTGCATGAATTTTAGCTTTTTCCACACACCACAGCGCGATCGAGTCCGGCATACAAAGTCTCCTGAAATGAGACTCTTGCTCGCGGCTAGTCAGGTATTCTTATACTCTTTTTCAGTCCTTTATAAATTGTTGATGATTGCTGATGCACACACACTGTCGCCACTCTTCTCTGCACTCTCTTCGCGATTCCGCTGTGTGGTGGTGATCGCGCGTTTATCTTCCTCTCGCTCGAGCACCCGAGGGAATTTCTTCTGACCACACTGTGTTCCGGGAAAGGTATTCCAAAGTGAATTCTTATACCTCTGCACTGCTCACTCGCGTGCTCGCGATCGTGATCATGGTCTCTTTCGCAGAGGTATGTAACATGGCCGATTACACTTGAGGTTAGCTCTGAGAAAACAGCAAGGCGAGAAAGCACATGCGACCAAATATGAAATAATAATAACACCACACAACCACACGCAGAGCTGGAGGATTATTACACTTTGCGATCGCGATTTCAATGTGTTGCCTGGCGATGGTCAACTCACTGTGCATAGACTCGCCAAGAGTTCTTGGGCGCAAAGAACTATGATGAGCAGCAATAAGGTAAAAAGAGTCACAAACACACACGTAATCAATGTGTCTCTCTCTAAAAAAAAAAGCGATCGGTGCGCACAAAGCTTGTATAGAATTTTGTTACTTTTCGAGTCAAACAAATAAAATCTCACTTTGGACATTCAGCAATTCTGCGCTCAGTTCTTCACCATTTTGTCATAACCATACCAATATCAGTTAACTTTGCGTCCATCAGTGTACGCTTTAGCCTTTCTTTTTTCACACAGCAACTTATAGGCACTCTTGGGCGCAATAGTTCAGAACTTGTCTCCTCTCTGCCACTTGCTTTCTTTCCTCCTTGATCACTCACACTGCTTTGGCCGAATCGATCATTTGCCAAGCCAAGTGTGTGCCATCAAATTAATTTATCTGAAATTATAGAGAGAAGAAAATTGTAATGTCTCGAGTGAATAATTTTCCCAACATGAGAATATGTATTTGATTGATATATTTATTAGCTAATCAAGTAATTTCTGGGACGCTTTTTTCTCGCCTCCCCTTCCGTTTTCGCCACACGGGATCTTCCATGCGATCGCTCACTGTTCGCGCGGTTTCTGATGAGGTGTGCAAGAAGAAATGGTCACAGTGGTCTGAGTTGAAAAACGAAACAATTTCCCATATTACACGCTTGACGGAGTCTAAAATATGGACATAACACGGCATACATCACGTTGGTGGTATTCCTCGTCGCGATCGAGCGAGCGACTATGCCATTGATTGTTAGCTAATCTGTTGCAATGCTCAATTTGCATACTTCTCCGATTGTTTCTCCCTGTCCTGCGCGCAGCCCGGAAAAAAAGACGAGCGCGCAAACTTGAGCGATTGAAAGGGGAAGTTGCTCTTGTTTTTTATGCATTGAGGATCACCCGTACGATCACCTCTTATGCAATCCGCGATCTCCCCAATTGAACTCACACACGCTTTTTCCCGCCGCCCGCCCTCCCATGCTGGGTCACTTCTTGTGCCTTCTCTCCACGCGGCACAAGATCAATTTCTTCATGTGTGCTGTCCGCGCGCACGAAGGTTTTCGAACTCTTTCACTCTGTGCTAATTAGCGTGCTTTTATTTTCGGTTAGTCACCCGAATAAAAGAAAAAATCCTCGCGGTTGGAACTTGAACTTAAAGAAGGTGAGTTGTTCTTTTTCGGGTGAACCGCAGAAATGTTATTTTGATGCCAGAATCGTTGTGGTAATTATAAAGGAGGAAGGCAAGTCAGATTGCAAACTGCGCCAAGATGTTGTGGCGACGCGGAGAAAAGTCTGTTTCTCTCAATTGCAACATTGGCAGAAGTATGTTGACAAATTCAACCTGGCTATGTGATGATTGGGTGAATGATCTTCTCATGTCAATATTTTCCACTTCAGCAGCAGCTGGACAAACACTCCAAATGATGCCTCTTCAATTGATTTCATATTACCAAATATTTGTCTCTTCATTTGAAGTTTTGAACGTGCGGGGATCGCGATCGCAATGGCAATGGCGTGGATGTGAAGACTCGTGAGTTGGGATTCTGAAGGCTGATAGTGTTGTCCAGCGATCACCGTTGGGTGAACGATCGTGGCATTTGTGACCCAGTTCACTCTGGCAAACCACAAGGCACAAGAAAGGCAATTTACCAGTGGTAAAATAGATCATTACTGGAAGTCTGTGGCAAGCGCAGAAAACTCACAGTCAAATGTGGAATGATTGAGGGATTTCAGAGTTGGAATTTTCGCTAGAAAACCCGATCAAATGCCACTGATCAATCGCGATCACTTTCATAAAGCCTACGTCTCTTAGCTTATGGCAAAAAATGTCATCTCGCGCTACCAGTAGATCAAACTCGTGAAAGCCTTGCGCGCACATGAAATTGTCCCTAAGACGACTGATCGAGGTGTATTTTTTCCCGAGACACCAGTGGAAAGCTCTCTCGCGAGATTGCGTGATGATTGATTAAAAGGCAGGCGAGTGAGAGAAGGTAGAAAAAAGAGTTGGAAATCGATGTGGATGGCACAAAAAACAGTCAAAGAATGTTGATCTTGCGCGCGAAATTGTGAGAGATTTTTTCTGTCTATCCACGAGACTGTTTTGCTGTGTCCATCGAGCTATGTACTCTTAATCTGACATGTGCAACCGATAGGATTACCTATCGTGATGCATGGTCGTGTGTTCAATTTCCAGGCGTTTGAGCGCGATGGCAGCGCTAGATCGCGATCGCCCAGGAGGGATCCCAGAGTGGATCAGTGGGAGAAATGAGTGGAAAGGTATCCCGCTTGGCATTAATGAGTTTCGCCCATATTTAGTGACTCTCCCAAGAGGTGGTGAGGAGGCAAGATTACAAAAAAAGAACCATCCACAGATGTACAAGAAGTAACACACACATTGTCAGTTTGGCAGATCGGCGGAAACGCACGAATGGCAGATTAAAAGATGTGTTGTGTGATGATGGAAAAAATTAAGAAATTTTTCCATTTAAAGGCACCACCACAAAACAACCACATAGAACAGATGTCTGAGTGTGTGCACGCGGGGAAAAAAGGAGGATAACACACTCCACAAGATCGCCACAGCACACAAATTCCGCGACGGCGGTCTTAACAATCTCGCGGTCAACTTTAAACTATCGTGCCATGGAATGCGCCAGGCCCAAGAAGTTGCCTGTTTCACGGTGTACGTGCCTTTTTACCATGGTATTTCTCTTAGTTGATTTTGCAGGTGCGCTTGTGTTACCCAGACCTCTCTCTCATGGAGTTAGATGTCTTTTTTGCTTTTGTCCCCCCGCGTCCGCCAGCAAAGGTATCACAGCATGTGAGTCAGAGTGAGTCCACGGCATGACACTCTGTGCTCGGAGATTAGTGTGCACGGCGCACACACCAGCGCGCACATGGAACTGTGAAAACAGTGTGCAGAACGAGAGGAGAATTTAGTGTATCTTTGTGGACAAAAAAGCTCTACTCTACTCCTCTGCACCATCTTCACCAACAAATTCCAACTCAGAGTGCACATTCACCGAAGAGAGTCCAAAAGAGTGGAGAGTTGAGTGGAGAGTTCTGCTGCAATTCGTTTCTAATGCCCAGAATCATGTTCCTGAATTCCACAAAGCCCCACCCACTCATAGACCCCGCCCCTGACACTTCGCAGTTCATGCATCCTCCTAAAACCCCCTAAAATCCCATTGATGCAGAATCTATGGCGAAACAAGTTGGATCTCGTGGTGCGCGATATAGAAAAGGCGAAAGATGGCAAAGAGAGCAAGCAAAGACAGGCATTTTGATGGTGAGACAGCGAAGAGGAGGTAAGAAAAAACAACCACAGACACATTTGAAATGAGAAGCAAAGTGAGACAGCACGATGTCGTACCCAAAGCGGTGGATAATTTATATTGAATAAATATACACGCAATGCAGAGAGAAGTTCACCCAGGAATGTCATTGAGGGCTTTTTCCCATGGGTGGAAGTGTAATAGCAAATCTCTTTTTTGACTTGTCGGACAAAGATGGGAATTGGGCACTCTGGATAGGGTTCTTCTTCCTCCATTGCCGGCAGGACTATTATGGACGAATGTCTCCAGCCAGAGAAGAGAAGGTTCTAACAGAAAAATTTTAAGTGCATCAAAATACACAGTGATACAAATGTGCGCGATTGCAGTGTAGGTAGACATAGGGAGCTTTTTGTCCACATGGATTCCAATCTCGGTGCTGTGCCTTCTCGCTCACATTCACTATACACCATCCCTCTCCCTCTCTCAGTCAAAAATACATAATTCATCGAGATAGGCACACATTCCGTGGCCCAAAAGGTCGCCATGAGGAGAAGCCCAAACAGATGACTAAAAGGACCAAAACGACACAATTATCTCAAGAATTCACTCTATGTCACACAAATTCACTTTTACAGTCCAACTAGATTCCAGGTAGGCAGAAATCGGGTTCGTCGCCAGTTGATGCCTTTCGTGTTCGGTTTGCCCGGCACTTTCTTCAGCGCATCTCACACTCCGAAACGGGGTTGTTTATTCAGTAATTATTATTATGAAGGGTTATATAATTGTAATTATAGTCTTTTGAACAATCATACAGGGTGATCAAACATTTTCGCTCTCGCCATCCGCGAAAGAGCCGCACTAAAGCAGGCGTGGAGTGTTTCGGTGGGTCACGTGTGTAATTAAAAGTGCAGAGGCGATGCGTAGAAGAATTGAAACATATATCAAACTCACTGTAAAACTGTCTTGATATGTTCCAGGTATTGGACTTTGCTATTCTCAATGTAAAAATCGACGAGTAAGAAAATAAATGCTGGAGAAATTGAGCATGATTTTAGCACCAATGTATAGACTGAAAGATCAAGATATCAAAATGATTTTCACACCCAGATTTGGTATTCTTTTAAAACTAAACATTCGCAAAATAAATTATTTGTTTCAACTTTTTTGTAGCTGCTTTTCATTTTACATTTATTGATCTTAATTTTTAGGGAATTCTAAATTTTCTCTTTAAAATCTGGATAATTACTATTATATATATATATATATATATATATATATAATATGAAGCTACATTTAATTTTTGCGTTGTAGAATTCGAATTTCTGTCTTAAATTGTCGCATTTATCCCTAAGTGCAAAACTCTAATGATCATAAATGTTGCAAATTGTACTTCTACTCCAAGTGTAAATCAATATCAAAAATTATAATAAAGCGTACTCGATGCCGAAGAATAGTCATAAATTCACTCATAATCTCTCTAGTCAGATAATGGCGTTGGGATGACAAATAAAAGAGACTTTTTCAGCAACTATTTTAGAAGAGGTAGTAAAATAATTTAATTCCAATAAAATTCCTGACAAGCATTCTAACTTACCTTTTATTCCTGCCATCCTGCATTATTGGGAAATTCCTGTTCAGGTTCTCTTCAATTGGATTTCTCTGAATCATCATATCCAATTGATTTTACGACGGTGGAAATTCCATTTCTTCGCCACTCTCGTGGAAAAGTGAAAATCCACAGTCACCCACGCGCGACGCCACGGCGGCAGACAATCAAATGATCTGTTATAGGACACTTTCAGTGATACTCTCGTGGGTCGTTCTTCAGCGGCTGGTCTCTAAATTTTATACCATCGTAAATTTCCTAGTTGGAGACAGTTGTAAAATCTTTAATGACTCCAACTAGTCGTTCGTCTCACAACGACAAGAGCCACACAAACGGCACTGAGAAGTGTACTCGAAAGACGAGCGAAGGAATAATTTTTCGTACAACAATAAACCTCTGCGTCGTTTCTAGTGGGATGAATTCTTTGATGAATTTTGTATTCTAAACTTGGCAGAATTTGCTGATCGTTTCACGAACGAGAGGAGAGGAAAAAAAGACATGGAAAGAGATCAACAGTGACACAAGAAGAGCTCTTCACACACAGAAAATCCCAGTCGTGCATGATTTATGTTGATTAAATATTTTATTGGTTTCCCATTTCTGGATTTATAAATAATATTCATATAATGCTTCTCTCAAAAAATTAATAAAACACACCGTCCGGAGATGAAAGGCTTCAGGGTGAGATGAATTGAACAGGAGACATTTAGTTGCTTACTTCTCTTCTAATGCCATTTTATAGTTTTGCTTGAGGAATTCATCATTGCCTCTTCAAGAATACTTCAATCGTGCCAAGAATGCCATTTCGAGAGATCGATTCGGCCGAGGATAAGCATTAAATACTTAATCTTTAACTGAATAGTAAAGCAGAAAAGTCTTGATAAAGCTTTATAATTCCTTTAGCTTTATAATTACTCAAAAGTCTTATTAAAGAGTGATTAGGCAAATAAAATGATCAGCATCAGTGTTAAAATTTAACGAAGAATATAAAAATAAATCTTTAGGATGTAAATAGATGCGCCAGAAGTTCGGGTTCACTGAGATCCACCTTGTATTTCTGCACCATCTCCTGAACTTTGAGCCTGCGACGAACGTGAGGCGGTTGGTAGCCGTCATTGTCCAACCTTCTGCGTTTAGCCATGTTGTAGGCTGTTTGGCGAACCAAATTGCCCACAACTCTTCTGCTCACCACCATCCCGTCCACGAGTGGTGTGGCGAAATTCATTCTACCGGTCGGGCCTTGAAGTTTCACTCTCAGGAGTCCTGACGAGAGGGCTTGCAAGTAGATAATGTGACAGTCTGCCGCCCGAGTAGCAGTCGGCTGGAGATTTTCCTCGCCACTGCGACAGTAGGCCAGTAGATCTTCCATTGGGAACGTGATGTGATCCTCGAAGCTCTCCAGCCACACCAGAAAGATTTTGGAACTCGCCTGGCCAGCAGATGAAGTCTTGGACGTCCCTGGACGTCGTCGAGTTGGTGCTACAGGTTCCATTCTCTGCTGACTCCTATCAATATCCAGCGACAGCGTGCGCGGTTTGTGTCCCAAAGGCATGGGTTTTGTGAAATTTGTCACAGACTCCAGCGGCGGACACTCACTATTACTTCTCTCGTAGACAAATTGTCCGCCGTCAATCCCCGAAGAAGTCGGCATTGATTGACATCCTCCATCCAGAGTTTCCATATCGAATCTGTTAGAGTGATTTGGCACCACAAAGGCAATCTCCCCATTAACATCAGCCCAGTAGAGCACTTTCTTGTCCCCATTGAAGTTCATCTCTTCTCCTGACGTATGAGGGACAAAATCACCCCCACCAGATACTGATTGATTGATATGCCAACTAGAACTAGAAAATCCTGTCCATCCTGCGTGATCGTCAACATTAACACGCCACCCCAGACTCAGCATCATGCTCCAGAAGTGAGGATCCAGTCCCTGAACATTGTCTCCTGACATATTGTCCACAATCTCTATGGGCGTAGTCTGTCCAGCTTTCACATAGAACACATACACCGTGTCATAAGTTCTGGGACTCACGCGATCGAGGCTTTGAATCTCTGTCGCAAATCCCGCTTTTTTCGCGTCCAGCACCATCAGCAGGGGTGTTCCTGATTCCTTCTTTGCATTCTCCCCAATCGACAGAAAGCCAAAGTGGGAGAGAAAGAGCCTGGCGGCCTGAAATTCATGACAAACAGGCGGTGGAATTGCTTCTTGAGCGTGACCCAAGCTATCCAGTGAATTATCAGTTTCTGCCCACGCGATTTTCTCATACACCGTCTGATTTTCCAGTAGCTGAAACAAGTATTTGGTGTTCTCATTTCCAATCTTCTGGACAATCTCCTCAAGTGTGGGAATTGAATAATCCGCCACACACGGTGGAATCTTCTCCACGCCGTCCGGGAAGTATTTCTGTTCCACTTCCTGCCTCATTGGAGTGTCATTCATCGGCACTGGGCGCCCGGGGTTCGGAGCGTGATGGTATTTTGTGCCGGATTTACTCCTCGGCAAGTGTCTCAGCTGCATTGTCCAAGTATGCCGACCGAACGGCCCTCGGATAATCACTATAAACACAAAAATTAAGTCAAATAACTCACTAAAAATTTTAAGATACTCTCCTTACATGTAATTGTTGGCTGGGGATCTTGATCATTTCCCAACGGCTCCTCTAACAGGGCTAAAATTGTCGAATTCTCCGTGACAAAGTATCTGAACTTTTGCACAGCTGACTCATGGTTCATAGGCCCAGAGCTTGGATAGGAATTGCAGTACTTCATAAGAGTTTCTTCATCCAGAAGGGAAGAAAGAGATTGTGCTCCACATTCGCTAGGAAAGTAGCCGACTTGTTCAAGAATAACTGTCAATAGACTTTCAGCTGCATCACGAACTCGCATTGAAGCAGGCTTTAACTCCTTTTCATTCTTCAATTTGGCCGCTTCTCCTGGTTTTCCCACACTTTTCGTGCCCGAAATTCCAAGTTCAACAACTTCCAACACTGTTGTCAAACACTCCTTGTCTTGCAGAAGATATGGATGCTGCATTAGCCATGCAGATATGCACTGAAACGCTGCCACGATTGTGCTGTGAAGATCTTTCGTGTGAGATGGAGTTGGTCTTGAGCATTGGTAGCAAATGTAATCGCAAATCCATTTCACGGCGCGTTTGCACTCCAAAGCATCTGAAAAAGAGATGAAAAACATAAAGTTTAAAAATGTAACGATCGCGAAATGTGATCTTCTTACCACTCAATTTCCTTGCTGATTAGGTAGCACAGAAATTATACGGCGAGATATAGTAATTTGTGACTGAAGATATTATGAGAAACTCACCTGATTCCTTAATATGCATCCTCGCGAGACCAGACAGCAATTCCAGAGCAGCCAAAGAGACATTCAAGTCAGCCTTCCAGGATGAAATCAACCTGTGGCAGACTAAATAAGTCGCTCTCACGAATAATGCGTGAGCATTGTCTGGAAATTTTAAATAAAAGGCTCTAGAATTGTCCCTAAACTACCCCCAAAACCCATACAATCAGCAATATATCGAACAAGTGACTTTAAAAAAGATCTACAACATTTAAGCTCACAAACTACAGCGTGAACAAAGAGATGATGAAAAAGACATTACCATAGACTGAAGGCATTTCCAGGTCCTGCAGAAACTCAGCGGGAAAATCATCAGAAATGCTCAAACTGGGAAACTCATTGCCCACCGTGGCCGTACTGTTTCCACCCAAACTCGAACTAGCGCTAGCAATTGAACAAGCACTCTTTTCGGAACAAGCTGATGTGTGTGTATGTGACAACATTTTGCGATGCCATATAAAACATAAAATTCAAGACGAGAAAAAGAGAAAATAAACACAGTGAGAATGTAACATATTGTTCCAAAATTAAACTAAAATCATAACTAAGAAAAGACATGATTGAGAACTCGAGACAAAGTGCAGAAAGCCAGAGAGTTGTCCATTGTGTGTTTTACAAATGGATTCATGGAAATGGGAATTAATGAAAGGAAGATAAAGTTACCTGAACTGAGGAGATTCAAATCACTTGTTGGCGGAGACATTTGAACCATCTCGCCAGTATTTTCCGTTTCCTCGAAAGTCACAGAATCTTGGACACTAAAAAGAAGTCCTCCAAGAAGCATATGAGTGTTCTGAGCGTCAGTTTCCACTTGCAGTGCATTCATCAGGATGTTGATTAATCTTGGCTTTAGCTGGGCAAATGTGATCATTCTGAAAACCCATATAATAATGAAATAAAGATATTTCCAAAAAGAACAAACTACTAACTTATCCATTGGTCCTCCTGTGATATCTCTTATCGGCAGCGTCTGAAAGTGCAGCGGCAGAGCCAGAATGGAGATCAGAATGTGGATTGAAGCCCTCCTCAACTCAATCCGATTCAGCACGACAGTTTGACTCTTCATTTTGAGTTCCTTCTCCGGCAATACCAACTCAAGAGCAGTAATGAAAGAGGGCAACAGCACTTGAATGCCATCAAGATCGAGTCTAAATAGATCTGATGAGTTGTAGAGAATACTGGCCAGTGTTTCTTCGCACTCCTTCGTCTCGGGAATCCTCAAACCCTGCTGCACAGCCACATAGAAGCGCGCTAGGTAGACAGGAAGAATTTCCTCGCCAGTTTTCTTGGCACAAAAAATCCTGCAAAGCGCTCCAATTGCCTCCGCTCGCCCAGACTCAAACTTATCAATCGTCAGACCTGGTGGCATCTCGATGTTTTCATTCAATGATGACGGCTGAGATAGTGATAAACTTCCCTTTCGGCTGTCCATGATCATCGATGAGGGTCTTCGAGACGCCTCAGATGCTTGTTCTGGTAAGAAAAAAGCACGCTAGTCAACCACGATTCTCACAAAACTCTCGTGATACTCACTTTTGCAGTTCTGGATCCACGCCTCGGTGCCAATGTGGGCAGCATCGAAGAGCCACTCGCCGAATAAATGAAGAATACTGTTGCATTTGGGCCTCGCAGATGCCATCACAGCGCGATTTTCATGGGTCAGTGACAACATTGCTGATAATTGGATGAAAAAGTATTAGTGATTTCACACTGTACCATCAACTGGCGGAGACAACAGGAAAATCGTGCGTTTTTTCACGGAACTCGCCAATACAATTGGAGAGCAAAGAGAGAAATCATCATTTTCCGCGTATGAATAAATTTAGAGTTTGCAAATATATGAAATTTCCATGAAAGATTCAGTTGAAAAGTTCACTCAGAGTTGTCAGTGTGTGGCTTGTGATTTGAATTTCCAGTAAACTGATGTTCCTACAAAGTGTAACTTTCGAACATTTGTGAAATCTAAAGCTTTAGCCTTCAGTTTAATTCATATTTCAATGCAAATTCCAATGATATTCAATGGGCAGAAAACATAAAATCACACACGATCTCCCACAGTCACTCTCGCCAGAGCCGCGGAGAAATAGCACTGGGCGAGAGAGTGGCCATTAAATCAGCATAGAGTGGAATTATATGAATCATAAGAGACAATTACAGGTGAAAATTGACGTGGGTGGCTGAGTGGAAATCGGACTGGCGGCCGGTTGACTGCTGGAAATTCTGCTGCTCGTCAATCCAATCAGTGATCCCTTGGTTATACCTAAACAGAGTTTTCAATTAACATTATTGTGAGTTAAATTCAGTGGCTTTTAGTGAAGCACTTCCAAATCAACCACAACTAAACTAAGAAATCATATGATCAGCAAATTATTTCTGGGTGGAAAGCTGTGATCAAGTGTATATTAATTAATTTCAACTTAAACCTCTTGCCTAAAAGAAAAAAAAAAACTAAAACCAAAATAGAAATGATAAGCATGCAAGTGTGGGTAAAATCCGCCCCCAAATGGATTGCAGGCGTGAGAAATCAGAAAAAGTGTCTCTCGTGCGGAATAGTGTAGAAATAATAGTAAAAAATCTACTGATTAACCCTTTGGGAGGCCACTGGACGGCGCCACACTGAAAGATTTGGCCAAGCGCCTCTGAAGCGGCGGCGTCGGTGAGTGGGGCACCTCAGCGGGAGTCGGAAATACCACCGAGGAGGAGGCTGAGGAGGACACACCACCCAATGATGCTACATCTACACGTCCCGCAACCATTGAGAATCTAGTTTCACCACCTGAGAGGCGCGATGTGGCGCCAGAAGGTGCACCTGAGCCTGTATCTGTGCCGGAAATCCCCGTTGTGCTGGTCGCATCCTCGCCTGTGGCATTTTGCAATATTCCTACCGAGTGCAAGTTGGCATAATTTCTCTTTCTTTGTACAGAAAAAACACAGAACAGACGCGCGAAACAGAGACAAAAAGTCAAACTCACCCAGGAAAGCATCCACGAGACTGGAGATGCCCTTAATTGCCTTCAGGAAAATTTGAGGAAGAATCAGCAAGCACGAGTGCTGATAAGGCTCAATGGACTCCGTCATTGTGAGCACATGTTGCATGAAACGCGGAGTATTGCTGATGGTTTGTGGCTGGCAAAGAGCCGTGGGATTACCAATAACACGAAGAAAGCGATACCATGTCTGGGCAATGCAATCATTAGACATTCCCGACGGTATTAGCTGGGCATCTTCGTCCACTGCACGAAAAAGCGTGAATAAGAAAACTGTAGGCAAAGGCTTACTCTTAACTCACAGATTTTAAACTCTGGAAATGCTGATCCGTAGGTGAAGTCAATCAGTCTGGCTGTGAGAGCGAGATTAACGCGATTCCACTGTTCCACTAGAGCGATTCTGTGGCGCCACATTTGGCAGGATTCCTGCAACGTCTTCCAGAGCGACGGTGCTGGATAGCATCGAACGCACGCCAGGAGCCACACTTCGAACAGCACACTGAGGACGCGTTCGCACAGTTGATCGCCCACGTCATCCTTAATAGTTGGCGGCGCCAGCAGGACTTCATTGATGGCTAGAAGGAAGAGTAGTAGCGACTCCCAGGTTTCCCGGGTGAGAATCTGTGACACTGCAGCGTTCTGGAGAGTCCTCAAGACGCGGTGGCAGAGAACAGCCTGACGATTGATGGTGTCTGCGCCTATGAGAGGGTGAAATTAGTGGCTATTCGATAATTGGAATGTGATTCAGGGATTGAGTGACTGTCTGGGAAATGCTTTGTCCTCACCTAAGAGATCCTGATAGAGAAAAGCCCAGTCTTGGAAGCGAAAGAGCAATTAATTGAGGCCACAGAAGGGTTAAATGGGAATTGGCGAGTGCATTTGGGCAGTGTGCGTGCAGGTGCGACAGAATTACCTTCTCCCGGGCGCGGCACAAAGAGATTGTGGAAGTGATTGATGATCTTCCGGGCATAATTGTTTGGATCGTCCACTATTGGCTTGGGCACGCTGATACGTGGCACCGGATTGAGGGCCGTCATCCACTCGCAGTACACATTCACGCAATCCTTGATGGTCTCATGCTCACTCAAAGGCAGGGACAAACCATAGCAGAGCACATCCATGCACCAGAGCACCTGCAAGAGACATTCCGGATGGCATCTGTCACTCATCTTGCTCCATGTCTTTTTTTTCAGGTCATACCTCCTGATCCGTGACCAGATTGCTGGGCTCTGCAGGCTGCGAGATGCCAAGATTGCTGGCCAGCTGCTTCACAATCGCCACAGCCACTTCCTTCCCGGCGCTTCCTTGGAACTTGTTCAGGACACAATTCTGAGCGCTACAACTATTGGACGCAATCACCGGCGATAAGGACGCCCACTCCGTGTACATCTTTGTCTCAGGCATCTCCGCTGGCACTTTTTACAGCTTTTTCACACCCTAAACACCCAGAAACATGATTTTTCTTAACAAAATACGAAACGAAAACACCTCAAGAAAACATCAATGACGTCACAGTCTCCAAGTCAGGGCTGCACAACCTTTTATAGATACTTTCAAATTCAACCGTATTTCGATATAAAATTTTATATTGCCAGTAAACCAAGATATAAACATTACATCACTGGGATTTCATTACAGAATTTTGAATAAGGAATTAAGAAAAAATCAGAGGAATGTGGAATTTATAGAGGCTCACTTTAGAAGCGGCCCAAAACCATGGCAATAAGAGCCATTCGGACATACAGTCCGTTCTCGGCTTGGCGGAAGTACGCAGCTCGAGGATCGCTATCAAACTCAGCGCTGATCTCTCCGACACGTGGCAAAGGGTGCATCACGATCATCCTCCTCTTAGCAGCCGTCATCACCTGTGGAGTCACAATGAAGTGACCACAAGCCTGAAAGGAAAATTCGATTAAATATAGTTTGCAAATTCAATACACATAATCACTTACCTTCTCATATTCTTGCTCAGATGAAAATCTCTCTTTCTGTATACGTGTCATGTAGAGCACATCTGTGTCCGGCAGCACATCATTGAGGGACGTGTACGTCTTCTGCGTGATTCCCTTTGCAGACACAAACTCCACAATGTGATCTGGCATGGCGAGACTCGGTGGGCTCACATAGCGGAGCTGAACATTGTAGAGTGTCAAGAGCCTGGCCAAGGAGTGAACAGTCCTACCATTCTTCAGATCACCAACCATCGTGATGGTCAATCCATTCACTGTTCCAATCTCCTCACGAATGGTAAAGATATCCAAGAGAGCTTGAGTTGGATGCTCACCAACTCCATCGCCAGCATTTATTATGGGCTTTCGACAAACTGCTCCCGCTCTGGCAGCTGCACCAGGCTTCGGATGACGCAAAACAATCACGTCGCAGTATCCGGCCATAGTCGCGATGCTATCCTCAAGTGTCTCACCCTTTGTCACAGAGGAACTTGTGGAATCAATGGACACAACTTGACCACCCAATCTGAGCATGGCAGTTGTGAAGCTAGAGTGAGTTCTTGTGCTCGCTTCATAGAACACACAACCCATAACTTTTCCCCTAAGGACATCATCAGTTGTACGCTCCTTGTACACCTTCCCCTTGAAGATCTGTGCTAAGTTGAAAATGTCATTGAGCTGCTCCTTGGAGAACATACTCGAAGCCAGAATGTGCTTGCCAACAAGACCATGGTTTAGCTGATGATGATGATACGCGCCAGTTGAATCCAATCTAGATCTCGGCATCGGTGATCTAGACTGATGATCGTGCCTAGGTTCAGCCAACAACTTCGAAAAAATGTCATTGGTTTGAACATCAGAAGTATCCCAAACATCCGATGCACCTGGCAATTGTGGATCCAGAGACGGCTTAACCGGCCATGTTCGCACATTCTCACCAAATCCTGGCGGTGCCAGCACTTCACCATCCACATACGCCACCTCGCCACGCAGTATCACTCTGTGCACACGCCCACGGATCTTCATGCCATAGAATGGTGTCCAGTGTGACTTGCAGTAGCGCGTGAGCTTGGGAATTTCCCACTCTTCATCCAGATTCACTTCAACGTACGTGTTCGGTTGATCAGGCAGATTGAAGATCCTCTTGGGATTCCGATGAAAGCGATTGACTATGTCTTCAATCGTCAGACGTCCTTCTGCCACGGCGTTCAGTAAGAGTGGTAGAATTGTCTCAAGGCCAGGAAAGCCTGGAACACTCTTCTCCGAATTCAATTTCTCCTCGAGCGTGTGAGGTGCGTGGTCAGTAGCAAACACATCAATCACATCAATGTTATCCCACAGAGCCTTTTGATCCTCCGGACTGCACAACACTGGTCTCACATCAGCCAATTTCTCTCCAATTCGTGGAATATCATCTGTGCTAAGGAACAAATGATGAGGACACACTTCACATGTCACTTTCAAATTCTTCTCCTTGGCCGCCTTGATGAGATAAATCTCCTCCTTTCTCGCCACGTGGCAAATATGAATAGGACGATCGACGATACTGGATAGGAAGATCATCGTACCGATTGCTGCCTTCTCAGCATGAACCGCCAGTGGAGCACGTTTGGGCCAAGCTGCCACATGCTTCTGCCACACCATCATGTCTGTCAATTGGAGCTTCGAGTACGTCTGGTTGAGATACATCTTCAAAGCTGCCGCCTGACAATGAAATGTAATTTATATGAATAAATAAACACTCAGATTGTTGACTGAGACACTATTAAAACGATAAACAAGAGTGACACAGTTACACAAGAAGGAAGCGGAACTACACATTAAACTCACCTCACTTGCACATTCATTGATAGTGTTATAGTTATCCGATGATGCGCCTACGTAGCACGCAAAATCGCATCTCGCTCCAGCTTTTGCGATCTCCTTTACCATGTCAAAAGTCTTCCTGTCGGTCACTGATGGATTCGTATTGGGCATAGCTAATATCATTGTCACTCCACCGGCGAGAGCAGCCGCTGTGCACGTGCTGTAGTCCTCCTTTTCCGTATTACCCGGCTCTCTAACGTGCGTGTGCACATCAATAAAGCCTGGCAATTTCAACATGTTCAGCGACATCATGCAATCCGTGTGTGTCTTGAGACGAGGCGCTCCTCCGATTAGTCTCATTGCCTCCACTAGCATTTTGGTACATTTTACATCGGTCACCAGCGGAATTGAGTGATCTACAGCCAAACGACGCGTTCTGTATCCCTGCGTCATGAAAGAGGACACACGACGCGCTCCACCGCCACTCATTGGTAAGTTGATCACCAAATCAAACTGTCCGCTGGCTAAGAATTGTGACAAATCCTTCAATTCTCCAGCTTTCTCTTCCGTCTCTGTCGTGATCGAGTCAAAAGTCCACTGCACGGGTTCAATCTGAAGAGAGAGAGGGAGACAATGAAATTGAGTCATATAATGTATCAATAGCGTCAAGTAGCATTAAATCTAATCACGCTGCAAGTGTTATAGGCTCTTGTGAATGAATTCCCAAGACTGAACGATATTGACGTAAGAAATTATAAAGAACTACTTCACTAAATATAGCTACTTGCGAAGAATTCAAGCTAAATTGCCATTGTAAATCAACTAATCAGGCTAATCTAGAAGCACATACCTTTCTCTCTTCAGTGGTTATTTTACCCCAAGTCATTCATTCAATTTCAAAGTGAACGAAGTTGAGAAAGTAGGAATTTTATTAGATTTGTGTATTCCATCTATTCAACCTGTAATTGTCACCTTTGATAAGACAATTAGTCAATAAAATAAAGTATATGGAGTTGATAGCGACTCTCTTTTAGTATCGAACTGAATTGAAATACGTGATAAAGTCAGTCGTTCTTCAACACTCGTCAAGCAATATCGTGTGAATTAAACAGGCTCATACCACACTTCCTGTCTCTCATCTTTTATCTCTCAATCAATTACTGTATTAATTTTTCATTATATAGTGTCCAATTCTCTACGAAAAGTTTCTTTACTCTGAGTTAGAACATTTAAAAGTGTGATAAAATGTGTAGAAACTGTTTTATGTGAATAAAATTACCGGAAATTGAAGAGAAAGGTGATCTTATCGGATTGCAGATAGTCACAGTGAAAATGGGAAAATCAAGTTCAAAACTGCAAATTCCAAATAATCCAATGGAGCAACAAATATACCGAAAGAATCAAATGCGAAAGCGCCAACGTGACGAAGAAAAGCAGAAGGCTAAAACCGAAAAGAAGAGAAAGAAAGAGTTGAAGAAAAATGCCAAGAAGAAGAAGAAAGAAAAAAAAAATGATGACAAACTCAAGGATCTCAAATCACCCAATCCTCCCGTTATTCTGCCCGATAAACGCATCGATTCAACCTCAAATGGTGACTATCAAGATTCCGATCATGTGAGAATAATGCAAGATCAACTGAAACTCGACAGTGAAACTTTTGTCCTCAATCAAATCCTCCTCTCAATACAGTTTCTCGGAAATTCCGAAGGGTAAGTACACTCATGTATCATTAGTCATTTCACGAAAAATTGAATTTCCACGGAAATTTGATATCAAGCATTATGACTTCCAATTTTTTTATTGCCATTATTATTGCCAAATTTTCTGCTCAGTCAGAATTCATCAGAAAACCCACCATAAATAATCAGAGATATAAATTGAGTTACTTTCCTAATACAAAATATAATCAAATGGACTTCCTCTTGCGCAAAGCTCATATCTCAAACACTGATCAGTCATTGCGCCTCCTACTCAGGAGTTCCCTCCACTGTGGGCTCCTTACACAATTTCAAGAGCAAACACAGCACTTCTACACCAATTCCACACACAGTGCCTCGCACGGCAAGTTATCAATAACCATCCGTAGACATCAGTAATTTGTGTTTGTATGGCAATAAGTACACAGAATTTGTGTACGAAAATTGACATGGATAAGGCGATGGCACAATGATAAGAGTGCTTCATAAACACCTAATTGCAAATTTATTTTCAATTACTTATGTCCGCAAACTGAACAGTTGACCACGCAGAGGATAAGATAATTTTTCCCCCTTCTCTATTCATACAATTGGAATGATTGTCCATAATATATATCTACTATATGTATGAATCGAATGTGCATTTCATTCTTAATTTTCGCTTTTACAAATAGCCAAAATGTGCCATTGACTAAGTTGATGCGAATATGTATAATAAATATTAAAGAAAATATGTCAGTGTGTCAGGAGAGAAATATTGTATGGGTATTTCAGATAAATAATCTCGCAAAAATGGTGATAAATTTATACCTTTACAACCATTCACCTTGACTTTCTTAAAAAAAAAAGAATTGATGTGTTCAATTAGCGCTACTACAGAGTGGAATTTTAAATCAACAGATGAGGAATAATAAGGATCTGAATGAAATGATGTTAATTCTCTATCTTCAGTATTTCTTTGTACTACAATTTCATTATATTTGTTCTCTCAATACAATTATAGCTGGTCTGTAGCAAAGCGGAAGTGTAGAAAATCAATATAAAGGCTTTATCAAAGATATTCTTATACCATTATCGGAAATAACGAAATCGGGTTGGATGTTCAATATTTACTTACACCGTCATTAAACTCAATTGCAGCATTTCAAGTGTTTCAGAAAATAATTCATTCTTACATCACAATTATCTCTTCCTTAGCGAACTGTGGAATTCTCGAGTGGCGACCAGAAAGTTGGAAAACGCTAAAACCGTCGAACTGAGCCAGCACAGCAAAAGCGCTTTGATGCCTGATGAACTGAGTGATGCTGTGGATCAGCGAATAATTTATGTCCCAAGGTAAAGGGAGAACTGAAGGAATTACATAGAAAACTGAATTTGAAGACAATCCATACGTTGTTTTCTTTCAAGACATGGACAGCAGAAGAAAATCTATAGCCGACTCAACACAAGGACAATGTACATAGTTCATGACAACATTGAGATATCTTATCCTGGAGTGACATCACCGTATAGCTTGATAACAGACGCTCCCATCTACAAATTGGAACTGGATGAGGCTAAGGGAAACGAAGTAAAGCAACCACCGCGCCATCCTGGATTTGTGCGCCTCAAGTTCTCCGAAACAGTGGGAAGAATAAAGGCTCCTATCAAGCATGAGATTGTGTTTCCAGCCAAGTCTCTCACGAGCAGCGAAAGTGACAGTGACATGGAGGAAAGTGATATGTCTATGGATGGATCTCTCAAAGTGCGCCGAGATACATATCAGTTGATGAATAGAAAAATACCACGCGACAGTTTTCTCGCTCTGCCCACCAAATCCTTTGTCAACGGAATTGCTGGAAGTCCTTCAAACACACCATCGGCGAGCACATCGCCACCGAGTAGTGAATATGATTATGCCTATATCACAGCTCTTCACACACACAGACCGCTGTGCACAATGAGGAGCAGCAGCTTATCTGATGTGCCATTGAGCACCATTTCCTTACCAGACTCCTGTATTACAAATGTTGAAGTGGCACTGAAACATCCCGATCCACCACGGTATATGGATGACAAGCGATCAAGTGGATCGACAGAGATTGAGGAGGAGGATCCTTATGATATGCGACAGTATCTCAATTCAAAGGCATTCATGGGATATTTTATACATATGTTTCAAGATCAATTGGCCACGAATCTCAAAATATCACACCAACAGCTGAGCAAAGCCACGTGGAAAGGTGCCGTGATATATAGTGAAATGGGTGAGTACGATTGGGAAATTGTACCAGCCATTCCTTGTCCATGGCCACCGGAAGCCCTCGAGTGGCGTAATCGATTGCGTGCCATTAAAGAGAATCCCATGAATCGCAACAGGACAACTTGGCCCACAGAGGAGACAATAAATCACATTATTGGTATGGACTGTCATATTATACCAATTGGATACATGCCGAAAGTTGGGCAAAATCCACAACGCGAATTGGAGTGGAAACTTGTGTTTCCCAATGCTGAACGCTACTTGGAATATTCACTATCAAACACCCAAGTGAAGATCTACATGATGACGAAAATACTGATAAAGTGCTACGTTGAGCCACACATTGACAAGAACCTCAACATGTTCACCACCGAACATTTGCGTGCCCATCTCTTCTGGCACTGTGAAAATACACCACTTTGGCCTGATGTTTCCCTTGGCCAAATCCTCATGGACTTCCTCAAGTCCCTCCTCAATCGAATCAAGACACAACGCCTACCAGACTACTTTATACCACGTCGTAATCTCCTCGAAAATATACCACAGAAGATTCTCGTAGAGTTGCACAAGAGAATCTTTCGGATCACTGAAAATCCTGTAATGTATATCATCAGAGCAATGAGAAATGTGAGATTCTCAAAAGATTTCTATCCCAAATTCAACTTCAAGAAGCTTTACAAGTGTCTTATTGTTGATAATCCTGTTGTCATTCTCATGAAATCCGAATCACCACATGAGATCCGGAGGAATCCCAAGAAATTTGAATTTCACCAGCAACTCATGGAGGCGGCAAAGAAATCAACTGGTGAGGGTGACAGTGATGTTGAGAATTCAGATGACAATGGCGTAGTGCATGGACACATGGAGGAGTACTACAAGAAGATCAACAGTGATCCTGACAAGAGGAGACGCACCAAGCAAGTGAAATTCGAACAGAAGAGAACATTGGAGAACATTGAGAGGTCAAAAAGGCGACAATCAACTGAAACGATTGACATTGACGTAAGATATTCCCTAAAAATTAATTATTTTATTTGCATTTTAATGCGTGATTTCTTTAAATTTCAGTTTATGATTCAGCGCAATATGATGGCCATTCGAAGAAATGTTGTACTCAAAGTGTTCATCAGTCACTACATTCAAATGGCACTCTCTTCAGCCAACTTTAGAAGCCTCAATCAGGGCACAATGTACCTTAAACATGCTGATCGTCTATGTAAACTCTTCTACGTCGACGGTTATGAGTGGGATGGTGAGGAATATTCCTACAAGATTGCATCAATGCGCATTAAAATTGAGCACACAAGTGCTCAGGATGATCAGGATCGACCAGCTCTACCGCGACGAGAGAGTTTCCTCGATCCACCAAGGAAGAATCGCGTTCGCAAGTCTATAGCTCATCAGAAATCCATCACGGAAGATCCTGACAAGGAACCGTATAATAATGTATCAAGTATCCCAATATCTCCTACCGCTTTTGATCATTTTGACGACAGCAGATTATCCTTTTGTGCAATTAATCCTAAAACTAATGGTCACAGTCACGATGTTACCATTGTGGATGTTCATGCGTTTCACAATGGTCACGTAGAGGCCCATGGATCTTTGTCAAATGGAACTTCAACAAAGTCAAGGGAGATAAGGAATACTTTCACTACAAACGGATATGATGAGATTACTAGGCTAAGTGAAGAATCATCGGACGATGATACAAGGCAAACCAATACCAATTTAGCGGCTATTTTAGGAAATTTATGAAAATAATACTGTGATTCTATGAATTTGTTGTAAAATTTGCCCGATAAAATTCACAGGATAATACATGCTATATTGACGAAAAAAAATCACTAACCTGTACACCCTGCTCTGCATAAAAGTCCGCCGTTCCCATTGAAGCATACAATTTATAGCCCATCTTCGAGAGAGTCCTCACAGAAGGAATTAATTCCATTTTATGCTGCAAATATAAAACACTTCAATCAATTTGCTTATTACATAAAACTCAAAATTTCCATTACTTTGTAGCTTCCAACACTGAGGAGAATGGCTTTTTTCGGTATCTGAAAACCTGTAGAGAGCATTCCCTTCAAATAGGCCTCATATCGATTATCGCCAAAGCATCCCACTTCCCCAGTTGATGCCATCTCCACGCCCAACATCACATCAGCTTCAGAAAGTCGTGCAAAACTGAATTGTGGCACTTTCACACCCACTTTTCCGCATCCTTTCAGCACATCCACAGGCTCCACAGGCACCCCCATGATCACTCTCGTGGCAGTGGCAATAAAATTGTGATTTAGAGTCTTCGACACAAAGGGAAATGATCGAGATACACGAACATTGCACTCAATCACCTTCAATTCGTTGTCCTTTGCTATCAATTGCATATTCATGGGCCCTGACACGTCCAACAGTGATGCCACGGCTTTTGCGATCTCCTTAATCTTAGCCAGAGTTTCATCATTTATATCTTGGGGTGGTGTGACAAGTGTTGCATCTCCAGAATGGACACCAGCATTTTCTACATGTTCAGAAACAGCCAGACACAGAATTTCTCCTTCGCGAGCAACAGCGTCCACATCAATCTCCTTTGCCTCTTGAATAAACTTGGAGATCACCACTGGATGATCTTTGCTCACCTCCGAAGCGGCATTCAGATAAGCTTCCAGATCAGCATTGGAATAGGCAACATTCATGGCAGCTCCGGACAACACATAAGATGGTCTCACGAGGCAAGGATAGCCAACTTCCTCGCAGAAAGCAAATGCCGCTTCATGATCTGTTAACTCCTTCCAGCGTGGCTGTAAAATTCCTTTTGTATCCAGCAATCTTGAGAATTTAAAGCGATTCTCCGCACGATCCACAGCTTCAGGTGATGTTCCCATGACTTTAGCGTGAGCCAAATGCAAATCCATGGCAATGTTATTGGGCAATTGTCCACCAACGCACAGAATAATGCCATCAGCATTCTCCAGTTTGTAGATGTTCATCACGACCTCAAAAGAGATCTCTTCAAAGTACAGTCGATCACACATATCGTAGTCTGTGCTCACAGTTTCGGGATTGTAGTTAATCATGATTGTCTTCACATTCATCTTTCGCAACTCCATGAGACAATTCACTGCACACCAATCAAACTCCACAGAACTGCCAATGCGATATACTCCAGATCCCACAACAATTGTAAATCCTCCGGGAAATTGAAGATCATTCTCAATGCCACTGTATGTCATGTAGAGATAGTTGGTCGCAGCCGGCCACTCTCCAGCCACTGTATCAATTTGCTTCACGATCGGCGACACCTTCATCTCTTCCCTCATCTGTCTCACTGCCAATTCCGTGCTCTTAATCGCCTTAGCGATTTGATTATCAGAAAATCCAATGCATTTCACATCATAGAGTGTCTTCGCTTTCAGACGATCACTCGTGAGGGACTCCAAATGAGTGGTACAGTCTATAATCTTCTTCATTTTCGATAAGAAGAACGGATCAATTTTCGTCAACTCGTACAATTTCTCCACTGAGTAGCCCGCTTTGAGAGCCGCCGCCAGAACATACATTCTCTTATCAGTTGGCTGCATCAATTCCTCATCATTCACTGGCTTAAGATAGGGATCAAAGCCCGGCACTGAGTCATCGACCATTCTCAAGGCTTTCTGAAAGGCCTCCTCAAAGTTTCGCCCAATAGCCATCACTTCACCCACACTCTTCATGCTGCTGCCAATTTTTTTGCTTACCCTCGCAAACTTTGCCAAATCCCATCGCGGTGCCTTCACCACTAGATAATCCAGACTGGGTTCAAAACATGCTGTAGTAACTCCTGTTACGGAATTCCTCAGCTCAGGCAGTGGTATTCCCAGACCCAGTTTAGCCGCCACATACGCTAGTGGATAACCAGTAGCCTTGCTAGCCAGAGCTGAACTCCTGGACAATCTCGCGTTCACTTCAATGATGAAGTATTCATCAGATTCAGGATTCAGAGCATATTGGATGTTACACTCTCCCACAACGCCAAGATGGCGAATGGCTTTCAGGGCACACGTTCTTAGCATATTCCACTCATGATTGTTCAGCGTCTGACATGGCGCCACAACGATACTCTCTCCAGTGTGAATTCCCAGCGGATCCACATTCTCCATGTTGCACACAGTGATACAATTATCGTAGGCATCTCTCACCACTTCGTATTCAACTTCCTTCCAGCCCCGCAGAGACTTGTCAATGATCAATTGGCTAGAGTGAGCCAAGGCTTGATTAGCTAATTGTCTCAATTCCTCTTCGTTGTTGGCAAATCCAGAACCAAGACCGCCCAGAGCGAAAGCAGCTCTTATCATTACAGGATAACCCAGTCGCTTGGCCGATTCGAGGCATTCTTGCACGCTGTACACAATCTCTGACGGAGCCACCTTTTCCCCAATTGACTCCATTTGATCAGCAAATATCTTGCGATCCTCCGTCATAACAATGGAAGAGATTGGAGTGCCGAGAACCTTCACGTTGTACTTCTTCAACACGCCAAGCCTCTCCAGCTCAACACCACAATTCAGCCCTGTTTGTCCGCCAAAAGTCAAGAGAATGCCTGAAGGTCTCTCAGCTTTAATCACTTGCTCGACGTATTCTGCGGTGAGTGGCAGAAAGAACACCTTATCCGCCATTCCCTTTGATGTCTGCACAGTAGCAATGTTAGGATTGATCAAGATGGTCTGGATTTTCTCCTCACGCAGAGCTTTGATAGCCTGGAATTACATATTCATATATTTATTACTCAATTCTATTTATCGCTTTGGATGATTTACCTGTGATCCTGAGTAATCAAATTCACCAGCTTGCCCAATAGACAAACCACCAGAACCCAAAATCAGCACTTTCGTAGGACGCTCAAGCTTCGGTGGCGTGTCAGACGCCAATGTTTCAATCAAGCACTGTTTAGCCGTCTTGCCCTTTGTCTGGATAAGTTTTATGAACACATCGAACAAGATCTCCAAATCTTCAGGTCCGCCGTAGTGTTCGGGATGGAATTGTGTGCTGAAGTATGGCAAGCTCTTGTGGACAATTCCCTCGTTGGAATTGTCATTGACGTTGGTAAAGAGAATCTCCCAATCATCTGGCAATGTATCGGCATCAACAGCATATCCATGATTCTGAGAAGTCATGTAGCATTTCCCAGTGTCGTGATGCAAGCATGGAAGGTTTACACCACGATTACCGTACTTCATCTTCTTAGTTTTGCACCCAACGGCCGAGCTTAGCAATTGGTGACCCAGGCAAATGCCAAAAATTGGCTTCACAATTCCACTATTCAGACATTTGCGAATGTTCTCAATTGTCTCCCTGCACACCGAAGGATCTCCGGGTCCGTTGCTCAAAAACAGTCCGTCAAATTCATTGGGATTAATAGGATGGTTCCATGGAATGACATCAACACGAGCACCACGCTTGCACAGGCATCGAATCTGATTGTACTTCAATCCACAATCAATGGCACAAATACGAGGACTTCCACGCTCGTTGTAGGTTTTTGGCTGCTTCACAGATACCAAATCCACCAGATTGGTCACATTGGGATCAGAGAATGAATGCCCAGACGACGTCGCTCTGCCCTGAACTATGCGACCTGGAATTAGAAAGATAAGATTCTGATCTGAATTTTTCTGCTTCAAAACCAACTAAATTCATGGTCTGGCATTTATTCTATATGCTATACGACTTTTATTATTTATTCTTCCTCACCCAGGAGTACCCCAGATTCCCGGAGCTTTTTGGTCAGCATGCGCGTGTCGACTCCACTAATGCCGGGGATCTTCTTCTCACGCAACCACGCGTCCAAAGTCTGGGCCATCTGCCAATGCGATGGAGTCTTACAATACTCCGCCACCACAATTCCGGCGCAGTGGAACTTGGACTCAAAATGCTTGGGCAATCCGAAGGCATCCATCGCTGTCTCACTGGGAACGCCGTAGTTACCAATCAGTGGGTACGTGAAGACGAGGATCTGCCCCTCAAACGACGGGTCAGATATCTGCTCCGGATACGCCACCATGGCCGTGGTGAAGACCACCTCTCCGTCCACATCGCCGCGATGCCCGATGCTCTCTCCGTACAGAACGGTGCCATCCTGCAGCACCAAACTGCACTCTGCCACCTTATCCGTCATCTTACCACTTTAAAATTGTCCTGTTCAAAATGTCAGCCTCACCGGAAAATAGTTTTTTTTAGCAAATGGCACGACGACCGCGACCGCGATTTCACTCAGGTTATGTGACTTCGCTGACTCGTCTTGCTACGATTCCGCCAAAATTCCCGGTCAACTGCACATGCGCACTTGCAAAACACACTGCAATGTATGCAAACACGAGCACTACAAGAGATAATTCCGCAGAAAAAGATTAAAAAAGGAAAAACATGCTAAAAACGCCGAGAAATACACGTGCTTTTCACATATTTCTTGACACTTTTGATAACACGCCATCAAAGAAGATCGGCACTATATGCTTGTGCCGTTTGTGCTTATACTTTCTCTCTCTCTCTCTCTCTCTCTCTCTCGCTCTCAAGCAACAAGTGGTCAATTTGGGTGTAAGGTATTGAAAGATTTATGAAATTAAAGAAAATTATGGAAATTTTCCACTAGAGCAAATTAGGGATTTACTTAGCATCAAAGTTTCCAAAATTTGAAATTATCCTTTTCACACCGTCAAGACCGATAAATCCATTGGCTTGCCGTGGAATGGTTACAATGTATATTTGTATCGTGTGCAAATCTTTACTAAATTCCGTGGCAAGCCATTGGATTGAACAATGATGATTAAAAAAAGAATAAAAATAATAAAAGTATAGATATAACTCATGATCAATCCTGAACACTTTTATTGATTAATATCTCGATTCCCATTTTCAATACGCACGTGTGCGCCTTTCTTTGTACCTTTATCTATCTGCAGCGCCTCGCGCGACTGGTACAGAAAATATGATAATAATTTGTTCGATTAATCACGTACAGTAACGGGTTCTTTGATTCTTCTTTGTGCAATCCGAGCAGAAGAAAGGTGGTTTTCTTTCCTGTGCGCATCTACAACTTACTTTAACGTTTTTCCTGCATTTTCACCCCATCATTTTGCCCTCTTTTAACCATTCATATTCATCTTTTCTATTTTCCTTTCCAAAGTGCTATTTTCCACCAACAATTAATTTTCCTTCTGTCTCCCACGCGCCTTTTATTTCTTGTCTCTACCTCATTATTGTGTTCGTCTAATTGCTCCAAAGGTAGGTGAACAGGAAGCCCTGACATTTTCACAACCTCTTGCCTAGTTTCCATTTGGGCGGGAGTACGAGAAGTGTGTTGAAAAGTGATTTTCTGCAGGTGCAATGAATCCAAGTGTAAATGCTCATGGCGGCGGCGCTGCGCGTCATATTCGCTATACAATTCCCGAACTGATAATCATTGGGGAGTCTGTGGAGTCTCATCGGCGCCCAGCTTGCTTCAACGCCACCCCAATTGGCTCTACTGCTCGTTTGGTGTGGAGGCAGCGCGAAGAATCCTCTCGGGCTGAGGTGGAAAAGACTAAGAAGACGAATGGGGCGGATAGGGCAGATCGCCGCATTGGCAGTGGCCGATTTGTTGATCACGAAGCTTTCTGGGACAACAAGATGGCCGATGACGTGGAGATCGAGCTCTTTGGGCAGCGAAGCAGTGCTCCATGGCAGCCTCTCGTGCGCAGGGAGCGAGCGGACAGATGGGGAGTTGGCAATCGCAATTCTACTGGGTATTTCTGCTGCATGAATTCCAGTGAAGACAGTCCCGTAAATTCCTCGTGATTCCAGATTTTTTGATGTCAAGAATCGCCGTGATTCTTTCCGGAGAAATCCTCGGGACTACGACACGGAGCCTGAATGGCTCAGCGGCGGACCGACATCAAAATTCGACATGGTTGAGCTCCATGGGTTCGATGATGCTCCTAATCAGACGGTCAAGCATGATGACCAACCGACTGTGTCGAGCAGCACCCCAGTGAAGTTGAAGACGGGATCGCCTACTCCAGAAGAGGGCAGTGGATCACGCTTCAGCCAATGGTTGCCGAAACCTCACGATTCATTCGATAGTCACCGCTTCTCGCTCTACAACGATCTGGAGAACATTATGAATGGTGAGTGTGATAGCGCAGATCTCACAATGGTGATCTACATTATTAATAATTTCTAGATTCATCCACTGATGCCTGTGAGGGTGCATCTAACAAGAACTGCGCACCACCACTGATCACCGTGAATGGTAACGATGTGCCGAGCAGCGTGAAGGAGTTCCTACAGAAGGCCAATGTTGGCACCTCAGCACGTGGGGGTATAGCCAAGCAAAGGATCGTGAGTGTAAAAGATTTAGAGGTGTCACTGAGGGATTGTGCTTTCAACGAGAAGCCAGTCAATGCTAAGGACATGGATGTGTTCAAGAACTTCGTGGCAAATATGCCCAATGATCAGTTGGGCGCCAAGGCGGCAGAGCCGTTCTTCTTCCATGCAAAATCATCTCTGGGACCGTATGTGGAGTTGCTGCAGAGAGTAATTTTGCACGGAGAGACTCAGTTGAATCGTCAGGAGTTGCTCAACACTTCCGAAGGACAGGAGCATCTTCAGGCTCTCCTGCGTGGTGAGTTGTCTGTGTACAACTTGCTGAATCATTTGCAGTTTGTAAGCCCAGGACGTGAGCAGGAAATCCTCATTGCTGTCATCTTTGCCTTCAGCCAAACATCTCAACTTGCCACTCTACCTCGTGCATCCTTCCAGATGCCTTTCTTCCAAAATGGCCCACCATTCAACCCAATGGGAGGTCAAATGTTCCATCCTCCGCCTCAGAATCCAATTGGACTGCTTGCAAACGGTATGCAAATTTCAAATGTGTCTGTTCTTCAACTTACTAGTGTTTTTCTCTCTCCAGGAAAACCACAACGTATGCCATCGCCTCGTGAACTCCACCTCCACACGCAGTCCATCATGCATAATGCACTGATGAGGAAGAGATTCGAGGATCAGCTGAGTGGACACGTGAGGAAGCAAAATGCTGGTGCGGGAAATCGTGGACAGTCATCTAGCAACGCTTCTCTAATGTTTAATATGCGGGGTGGGCGAGAGGCTGAAGTTAAACCGCCTAAGAAAAGTGGGGCACCTATCATTTGATATTTTATGATAATGCTATTGGGCCGCAAATGGGCCTCACTCTTCTTGTCATCATTTGAGCATTGAGCAAAGAAAATAATAATTTGCAAGACAAAGCATTTTATTGGACCTCTACGACGTCAGCATGCCTGACGGAGTGATCAGGAGGATGAAGACTGCAGCTGAAGATGCTCCCAGGGTCAAAACTATGAAGATTATTGACACAACCATCCACTGATAATCATCCGGTCGGGGCTGAGTGCCTGGCTTCTCGTCATCGGGACAATCTGGTGTAGCTTGAGGCTCTGTAATGCTCACGTCCGGATGAGTGGCAATCTCAGTTGTTTCCTGATCACTCTCAGTGGTATCTGTGGTACTTTGCTCCTCTGAATCTGTTGCAATATCTCGATGAATGACTGCGGGAAATTTGATAACACTGTTTGCACGAAAACAATCGGGCCAAGAAGAATACATACAATCAGTGGGAGTGGAATGAGTAGATTCCCTCGTAATTCCGTCAATATTTCTCCCATAGCCCAGTTGAGGCTGAAAGAGATTTAATGGGGATTAAATGGACTTTTTTCACACGATTCTGCACATTAATCCATTACATGGAAGATCAATTGTATGAAGATGCAAATTGCAACATTTCTCATCTTCATGCTTGGCAAAAGTAGCCACACGACCTTTCTCCTCGACGCTTTGGGAAAAACTGAGCCACAACTCACTTTTTATCTGAAAAATTCGTAAAAATCCCTAGGGAAATTGTGTCGCAGTGAATTATTGATCAGTCGTCTGTGTGTGATAAAGTTTGACATATATTTACAAAAGGCTTACAATAATTAAATAGGTATCAATTTATCATATCATTTAAGAGTTCTTTTGTCCTATGAAAAATGCCAGACGCTTCTTCACGTTGCACTGATTATATCGCGAATCCAGGCGGAATTTGAAGAGATCTTATCGTACATTCGCGGTCGCTCTGTTCCACTCACGGCGCACGCGATCCTCCAGGACGCCATCCCGACCAAAGCCCATCGCTTGTTGTCAGGAAGTAGGCACAACACGGGACTTCCGGCAAATTCCTCCTCCTGTGCGAAGAGAAACAATTTAATGATCAAAGATTCCCATTGTAAATCATTCCCCATTTCACTCACCATGCAATCTTGCTTATGATAAGCCGTTTCGGTGCACATGCTATTGACTGTGGCAATTGAGACATTTTCACACGCCTCCATATCGCCAATTTTTAGTTGAACCCTCTGCAGATGATCTCTCTGTCTCGCCCATCCCAGAGTGTTGCAGTTGGTCCACTGATGTGGCGGCATTCTGGCACTGGCCACCTCCGCGGCCGCCACATTGGCATAGTGAACCATTGCGATGGAGGGATTCGTGAGAGAAGAGTACTGTGAGTCCTTGAAGGCCGCAGATCGCTCCTCATACTCTTGCGTCTGTGGTGAATTGTCGGGAAGAGGGTAGTTTTTGCTGATAGAAGGACTGTTTAGAGATTCCGCCTTGGGCATGTCATCGTCAAACTCCTCGTGCAGTGCCCGCGGAAAGGTGTACTCATCTCCAGTTGCGTCATTTGCCGGACTGCTAAAGTAATCCTTATTGACTTTGATCTTTCGCTGTGACGATGACAAGAGATTCTCGAGATTGTTCTCCAGCTTCTCAGCTTGGGGACGATTTCTTGACCTCCCCATCACGAGTGGGCGATTCTTTTGCACTTCATCTGGAAGGCAAATGGGTCGGACAAAGTCAGAATATTGCACTGGAGTCTCTAGTCGTACAAGGGCAGCTGTTGATCCCTCCACGGGGGATTTCACCATGCCAATCTGAAAAGCACACTGATTAGCAATTATTGTACCTATTGAAATTATCAGTGATTCTTACAATTCTCCGCCGCTGCATCCACGGTGGCGACGAAGACAATCTCACTGATCCGAAGATTGCCATCCACGTGGCTTTCGGCTGACCCTGAAAGCATCCTTCAGTCGTGAGGACCCACTCCTCGCTTACGAGCGTCCCATCACATACATGAATATCACTTCTGTAGAGTGTCACATGCCAAGGCCAATCTCCAGGAGCACTCATCTTTGGCAGTGTCATTGTGCGACCTCCAGAGAACAGCGACTGCACACCACACTCGAGATTATCGCATTTCACGTACAGCGCTAGTCTCTTCCGGCAATTTGTCCTCACGAAAGATATCTCAGGAGCTCTAGGATTGAATACTCTGACATAAGTGATGTTGGGCTCATTGTCATTCCGCATTTCCGCATGCAAGAGCCTCTGATAGCCAAGCGCCTTGCACAGAGACTCCGCCACCGTGTTCCTAACCGATGTATCCTTCTCAGAATCTAATCCTTCTGCACATAATTTCCCCGTGACGCCCTTCTCTGAGAAAATGGCAAAACCTTCATGGTAAAACTTATTCCGATGAGGTGTCAATGGAGGTGGATTGGATACAAAAGACACCAATGGAGCAATTGACACTGCAAAAAGAGTCTTCAATTAATTATACGAGAAAAAATGTTTAAATATCATTTCACTTACAGCAATCCATTTCGTCACTACCATCAGGACAATCTGCCTTTCCATCGCATCGTGATCTCCGTGAGATACAAGCTCTCCCTCTGCCACAGTACAGGGAATTTTCTGGGCAAAACGAACACGTTGTCTCATCACTGAGATCCGGACAATCTGCTATTCCATCGCAGAGTCTCGAAGACAAAGCATGTGACTGTAGATCTGCCATACACTCCGGTCGATTGCGACACGTTTGACTACCCGTGGACTCTGGGAATCTCTCACAATTAAAGAACTTCTTGAGCTTCTTCGGCAATCGATTTCCACATCCATTCAGGAACTCTTGGCAGTAACTTCGACACACCTGTCCGGCCTGTGCCTCAAAAGGTTCTCTCTGCTCGCATGGCGGCTGGAGTAGTCGGCAGACAAAGTCAAAGGCTTGCCTGAAGCACTCAGCATCCACCAGTTCCCGGAAGGCGATCACATTCTGTTCCACTTCCTCAAACGATGAATGTCCCAAAAAGTTTGGATACGTCGTCAAATTGTATCCAATATTCCGACAATATCGCAACCGAACGGGTTCACAACGTCTCGGAGGCGGTTTGACTGTAACTGTAGTATTCTGCACATCATCCTTCCCACCCAGCGGCGACGAGGAAGTCCCTGAGATGTCATCAAAACTCCCGACCATCTCTTGAAAGTCCAATGAGCTGGGATCAATAGTTAAATTGCTAAAATATCGCGGCTTTAGCGCCTCAAATTCCTCCGTGAATATCGCATGAAGATCCGCCGCGGAGACTAATCCTCGATAGGGATCAAAGTGTAGGATGAAGTGGACTGTGAGATCATCCCGATCATCATTCCCATCCAGAGCGAGTATTTCGCAGCCTTCGTACGTCTCTCGGAGATCAGATCGGCGCAGGACTAAGTTTATCCTTTCTCTGTAATCGCGAGCGTGATGCTGAAACCGCAAGGAGTTCTGATCCGCTAACTCAGGCTCCCACGAATCACCTCTGATTACCCTAAATCTTGCCCTAAACACCCTATCAGGTAGCGGATCAGGACGGAGATATGTATCTGCAAGAAATAAGATCACACAGAATTGAAATCAATTACCAAGTACAATGTATTCAAGAGTCGTGGTTTTCGGCATGGAAGTGAAATATTCACCGGAATTGTATACAGTTTGAAACACGGAAAATCAAATTAACTTTCTTACAGAAGAGAACGTTAATTCTGCAATTTTACACTTCATTATGAATGCATGATCTAATTACCCAGTGCAAAATTGTGGAAAAAAGCCACCACTTTGCCATATGACTCAGAAAGCAAATTGTAAATAGTGAATAGTCGCTCAAGACACACACAATGATCGCAAAAAAATAATAAATTAAATATAATTAAACGCACTCTCGCAATATGGGGAATTATTATAAAACTCTTGAGTCAACAAAAGAAGTGAAATTATTTGTAAGATTGTGGGAAAAGACTCTGATTTCGGTCTCAATGCACTCACATCCAATGTAGACAATGGCGCCAGCCAGAAGGAGTGTGGCCAGGAAGCCAGCAATCAGAGCACAGCCACATCTCTCATTCTCCCCCAGTTTTCGTCTGGTGAATCGAATGTCTGAATCTGTGGACATGACGGACTCCGAGCGACGTCCTCTATATGAGTACTTTCCATTGCTGTAGCTTCCCAACAGATCACTCTTGATTTTGCCATTCTGAAAGTCACGTAAAATTGATTAATACGCCTCCATTTACCGAACCTTACACAGTAAGACAAAAACAACAACAGCACTGCCACACAAAATCATGCTGAAAAGGTGAATTTAAAGCCATTAACTATCACAACACCTGTAACGCAGTTAGAACGGAGAGTACGATCAATATTGCGAAAGACTCCGCACAATCAATTGGTAATCAACCAATAATTCCATATGGCGTTAAATTGATTACTTTCTAATGATCTCCTTGTATTTCCAAATTTAATAATCTCTCTTTTCCCCACAATTATCCAATTATATTCCCTTCCTCGCTCCGCTCTCTTCAGATCACTCTTTGAAATATATATTTCAGCGCATATAGGTTCGACTTCGAGAGATAGCCCTAAGGGCTATTTCCCACTTCTATCTTTACAATATTACAAAAATTTCACAATTTAACGAGAAATCTGGCATCTTAGATGCTGAATCTTAACATGCCCATTAGCTATACTTTGCCATTCATCAACTTTCCCAAAATGTTGCCTTCATTAAAGATCTAAATAAATTTAATATGCAAAGTGAGAACTGTGTAATAAAGCCTTAAATTAAATTTCAATTCTTAATAACCATTTATAACTAGAAAAAAAAACGCTCTCAAAACTCTTGATAAGTGTTTGTACAATATGTACATTTTGAATTGGATTATAAAAGATTTTTTATGTACATGCAATAAACGTATTTTTACCAATTGTGAACAGTATAACTGTTTCTCTAATCCTAAATTATCAATTTATACCGTTTTTACCAATTCGTACCATAGAAAAAGTTGAGATATTGAGGAAATAATAATTTGAAGTTGTCCAAAATTGCAGACGAAAAGTTAAATCAACTCTGACTTGATAAACTGAATTTAATCTATTGCAAAGTGTTGAAAAAACAATTTTTGCTCACACAATAAGCCTCAAACTGCAAAACATTCAAATCCGTGGTTTTTCTTATTCCAAAAGTTCACTTTTGGCCCTGGGAAATATGAGATTATTTATAATGACACAACCATTGGAGAGAACTAAGAGTTGACTTGTGTATTTACGAAGTCCCCTTTTCTGAGCTTTAGCTTATTATGTTATTATCCCACTAGTTATATTTTCTGTCTGTGAAAACGACAATAATGTGCCCACACTTTTCTTGATTCTTGAGATATAAATATAATCTGCGCGTCGATGGGTTAATTTTGCGTTTGGATGTGTTGGTGACGTCTGTTCTCCTCTGTGTTGGTGCGGTGCGCATGTTTGCGCGTGGTTCACTTTGAAATGTTGAATTTCGAGGAAAATGCCCCTAAAGAAGCCTAATTTGGGAAAAATCAAGTACTATTAGGTTAACAAGATGCCCTCCTGGCCGAATTTGAGGTCAAATGTGAGAATTAATGCTGAAATAAGTGGGAAATCGGGAGAAAAAACACCGAATGCTTCTAATGAAATTTTGCTCACTAGAGCTCGGGCTCCAGTGGCGCAATTGGTTAGCGCACGGTACTTATAGACAGTATTCTTGTGTGTGAGAGCAATGCCGGGGTTGTGAGTTCGAGCCTCACCTGGAGCACATATTTTTTATACTAATCCGCACCACAGCGCATTTTCCTTTTTCACCATTTTTTTCACATCACCATTGCATAATTACTCTCTTCCGCCATCAATCAATTGCACAATGGTGTGCTTAAAGTGAGTGAAAGAAATCAATTCGGAACTGAAGCACTGAATCTGTGGAAAAGTCTTTCACTCTTTGTTCGGAAGTTGTGGACGTGCCACAAGAAATTCTCCGCAATGTTGTTTCATTTCTTTTTTTTTCTCTCTGCGAAGGAGGTGAAAAATGAAAAGCAATTAAAGGCACTTTAATTGAAATGGGGAAAATTGCATACGTGATTGACGATATTGTCTGAATACTCTGAATGTCAGTTGACTTTGTGTGTAATTGTAATCAATGAACACATACTGGCCAGAAATTCGACACAAGCATACCCCGCAAATATTTCATATAGGAAAAATCGTATTAGTCGTTATATAAAAACCGCAAAGCACTTGGCGATGATAGTTTCTACTGACGAGATGTGTTAAGTGAAAACCTCATTTGATGATGAAACACACAAACTGTTTTGTTGACTTTTTTGGCCATTTTATTATCTCTCTCCTCTTTCTCATCAAAGCGATTAATTTGAGAGTTTAATATGCAACAACAACTGCGGCTGATGTTGTTTATAAGAGACTTTTTCAACCTGTGTTCACGAGTGTGCAAAGTTAGCCCGTCGATATGTTATGTTATTTTATGTGAGAGTTGAAATACATTTTTTTTCTGATGTGTCTCGTCTCTCGATAGGATCGAACCTGAAGCTTCTGAAAGATAAGACAGAGTCCTTGACTACTACACCACGAAATCCACTAAAACGCATGTTCAGTTGTCTTATCAGCATTTTGCGATGAATCACTTGTAACCCTCAACAGGGCTCATGAAAATTTTGAGTGAACGGATTTTATTAATATCATAATAACTTCGGAATAATTTCACAGTGATATATTCCTGGAGTCCAAAGAGGGTCAAATGACCTAATTGTATTTCTAGCCTACGACGGGTTAACTTAGTGAATAAGCGCTCTTTTAATTCATCTCGTTTCTCATTCACCCCGGAAGGAGTGAAAATCCAACAGATTTCTTCTCTGCGTAATGAGAAATGTGTATTTTGTTGGCAAGAAAAATCTTAAAGACTCAATTGAATTGTAATTAGCCTCCTTAGCGCGCGCTTATATTCAATGCATATTTAATTTCTCCTACCATCAGCTATCACACAGCATCTCAGCGAGAGAAAAGTGCAGCGCGAGTGCATAAAAAGCAAGATCATCTCATTCGCTTGTTGATATAAGAATCTTAAAAGAGAAATTTTTATCAGATCCGCCACAAGAGATGTACGACTCCCAAGTCCTTTCTCTTTGAAAATTTCACTGGAAATCAAGAAATTACTCATTCGCTCCAGCAGTGGTATTTTTTGATACAATAGCTAATGATGTGAAACCAGTTCTCTTTCTGAAAAATTCATTAAGGCAGATTTTATATAATTTTGTAGAAATCTTTGCACTAGGCGGCAAAATTGGTATCTTTACCTTTACCAAAGCTGAGCATTGACAAAATTGCTGAAATATTTTCACTCTGTAATTTGCGAGTGTGCAAAAATACACGGGTTATGATTTGTAATCACGATTTTTATATTGGGCCGTACATGCAATGCGCTCCGTAGCGACATTGAAACTGACCTAGACCCATCAAGGTATCGCCGCACTTGGTTGACTTCACTCACAATCCACCGTCAAACGATGTAGTTTTACTGCCTTCCACCACTGCTTATTTCTTCTCTGCTGCACTCACTATAATTAGTATGGTCATTGACTCCTCAAATAATGCTATTAGCATATTTTTTAAATGTGCCGAGAGACAAACACGGAGATGAGTTTGATTTTTTGTCAGCGTTAAGTTTGTCCAAATGAAAAAAAAAATTATTGACCGCGTAAAGTAAACTCTTAACTGCAAGAGAAATTGTGAGGCCTCAATAAAAACATTAAACGGTACTTAATGACTAAATTTCAGAACAGTGTGCCCACAACAATTGACAGACAATTCGACCGTGAAAATCTCTCACCTCACGTGAAAGTTCATTTAATACCGAAATTTCGGTAGTTCACCTCTGTGAGTCCTTACTTTTTTTAGGTGACCGCCTAATTAGCGCATAAGTGAATCAAATTGTACTGCTTTTAATTAATTTCCTATGTAAATTTACTTTGCACTACTAAATTCTCTTAAATTCAAATAGCATTGATAGAGCTTTTCTCGCCAGGTGTGCAGTGAAATGAAAAAAACAGCTCTTTATTCTTGCGCATTTTTCTTCACGATCTTAACCACGAAAATTACAATTTTACGATGAGTTCAAGATTCACGTGAAGATCCTAATTTGAAACTACATGTTACTTTGTCTCAAAATCCTTGGTTTTCTTTTGCATTCTCTGAAATAAATCAACGGTGCAATTAAATTAAAATCATGTTTATGATCTTCATCAATTGAGTATGTTATCAATTAGGTTCATATCAACTGTAAAAGTAAAACCATTTCTGATATAAGTTTCAGTGAGAAAAATTTCTAATGAACTTGTAAGAAAACTTGGAGAAACAGCCATTTTATGATAATTTTGACGTTTATCATGAAAAGAAAACTTCACTTGAAATGTACTTTTCACCCCAGAATTCAACATATCCAATTATATTAATGTAAGTACAACTTTATAATGTGGTTTCTTAGCCACATTTCCTTTGTTTTACTTCAAACAAGGGGTAGTCACGTGCTAAATCTATATGTATTCGCTTCGCCAGAATGTCTGTAATAATCTTGAGAAAATTATACCATTTTACATATTCTCAGTTCATGAGGGCATCATACATAAATGCACGTGCTTCAGCCTAGACAAACCAGAGAGTTTTCCGTGCAAATTTGTAGATATTATTAATAATTTAGTTTGAAAACCTTCTGCAAAAGAATAGCAATTTTAATTCCATGGTAAAAAACTTGATATGGATCACATCTTCTCATGCATTTACCATGGTTAATTCCACACTACAGTCTTTTGATATAGTTTCTAAGCAAATAATCTGCTTAAGGGTCACTATGCCATTCACGTTTGCCACATTTTCTGATTTAATGACAAAGAAATTGTGCGTGTAAGAGGACAACGATGAATATCACATGAAGATGTCAAATCATGAGAATTCCCCGTTGACACCATCAGCTGTGAATCTTCATTATAAACACAATTATGTGCTCAAGAGACCCAAATTCTCACTCTCACCATGGAAACCATCAACTATTTCATCACCTGAGACCGGCAGAGAGAAGCCAAATATTCTTATAGTGGAAAGAGGGGTTTTGTAATCATTTCTTAATCATTGAATGAATTGCACATATTAATTTTTCAAATGAATGAAATGAAAAATTTCCTTCCATAGGACTCCATAACAAGCATAGTTAAAAAAGAAGAAAAAAGAAACCCATGCGAAGTACCTATAGGTCCGCCTTACCCTACATGAATTGCATCTGCACGGTTTTTTGGTGAATAAAATTTTTACTGCACATAAAACTACCGTTTCCTATATGCGTAAAAATACAGAATAAAGAGCCTCAAAATTGTACACAACGCTTTTTCTTCTCAAAACACTAATTAATTGATGTTTTTTTTCATACCATAACTACTGATGTGTGGAGTCGTTTTTAATGATGAATAATTGCAAAAAAGCTGAGACTGTGCGTCTCACATTAAAAGTAGGTAATTGTGTTGTGTAGAAAGTATTCGGAAAAAAGTATATTGCTTTTACATCTTTCATTGCTCATCTGTTCTAACATTACGAATATAATTCCATACATCATTGTATGCTAATTCGCCCAGCCCCAAAGAATTTAAATTCATGAACCTCGTACGCAAATTAAAAGGCAAAGAGAGAGAGAGAGAGAGAGAGAGAGAGAAGAGTAAAATACGATCAGTAACAGAAGATATGTAATTTGAGGAATGAAAAAATATATCATCTCTTTTTATAGGAGTTCCGCTCAATTTTCCCCACCATTTATACGCAACTTCTGTAAAATTGAAGCACAAGTTCTATTCTCAACTCTAATTTTTTCTCCTTTTTTTGGCACACAACCGCGAAGGGCAACCATAAGAAATGGTAAAACATATAAATTGGAATGATATTCGGACTAACACACTCATGAAAATTACAATGAAAATTGGAATTGCCGCAATAATCTTCCTACCTTTGAATCCCACGACTCTTTTCTCTTTGGATTGCGGTGATTTCCATTGCCGGTGTGATGATGATTGTGGTTTCTGTTATGTTTCTCCGTGGCGACAGTCATCTTCGTTAATCTGCGAAAAATAGCCACATAATTTGTTATCATTTTACAATTTTACTGCTATTTTGCGATAAAATCTTTCAATTACAAAGATAATGTGAGTAACCAAGCAAATATTCACTTGATTTTATTTTGCCTAAAATGCTGGTTAATGTTTCACAAATGAACTATTTTCATCTCAATTTCGAGCTGTTAAATGAGTAAAAGGTATACAATTTTCACCCATTTGTGGAGATAGCAAATTACTGTGCATCTCCATTTTTTTTATGTTGCCAAAGAGTCATTCAATTTAAATCACTCAATCGTGATGTCACTCGTGTTTCCCGCCGCGCCAGTCTTTTACCCACAAATTACTCAATAGTAATTGGCTTCTATACCATTTGTGGCCACGCACATAATAGCGCTGTCCCCTCGGTATTATATCGAAAGAAAAGTGTCATAAATTATCATTAGTTCCTATTCCGACCATGTTTAACCATACAGAAATTTCTATTTGAAAAGCCGGAGAAAAAGGCCATCTCGTTGCGGTGTGTGTGTGTTTTTCTTTCCTTTAAAAAAAACTTTCAGTTTTCTTTTCATCAATGTAGAAAACTCGCATATATGACAACATATTGGCAGTGTCACATGAGAAATCAGAGGCATGTCGACTTCACTCGGGCCATTGTAAACAATGCAGTGCTGGGAAAAAGTGGAATAATGTCGAGAAAAAAAGGTGACAATATGTCGCGAAGATCCGCAATGTTAAAACTTGACTTGTGGCGATGAAAGGGCCTTGACATGAGGCACGATCACACAAATTGCTGGTAGAGAGATAAAAAAAAATTTTATCGAGGTGAAAGTTTTATCCATCTCGTGCCACCTCAAATATTTATTTTAACATCTTTGGCCACAATAAAACATCATTTAAATGCAGAAGAAATACAATCGCCTCTTTAAATGTTGCTACATATCGCGCGAAGGAGTCACCCACAGAGAGAGATAGAGACTTCAATGCTAAAGTGAGCAACAAGCATGAATTGCCCACTTATTGGAAGAGTTGAAAGATGTTCTTGACCGTGATAAATGTTACAATTTACTAAATACATTTTCAATTTGTTGAAATCGTGAAACGGACCAAATCACTTGCAATTGATGCTAACAGAAATTTTCAAACACCTCCATTTTACAGCATAAACTCAAATTTCGCTTATGTCTTCATATAACTCTCGAGTGTAGATTTGTAAAAGTAAAAGATTCAACCTTGAGGAACTCGTTAGTCTTTGAGCAAGAAAAAAATGATATATTATTTGAACACTTGAGAAGTAGACACTATAATACATATCTGCAATAAATTCAGGGTATTGAGTGAGTAAACTACATAAAAGTACAGAGCTGAACATCGCACAGTTTACGTTATATTGGTACAACAAAATGTTGCGACTAATAACCGTGTGAATATATAAATACTGACCCAAAAGTTCTTTAATTTCTTCAGATTCAATTAAATTGTGTGAAGAGTCTTTAATCTGGAGAATCAAATTATCTCTCGAGACTTTTGAAGTATTCTATTCATTCCATCTTTTTACGATATTTCACCTTTTATGTCTTTAGGTACATAATATCTCTCCTGGTATGTAAGAACCTCAAAAATCAACCCAATTTCCCTACCTTTATTTAAATTTTAACTCCTTCAATGGTAAAACATCGTAGTACACTAATGAATCTATTAATCTTTACATCCGCCGGTCAGGACACAGTTGGCACTCAAAGACTTTTATGAATAATAACACTTTAAATTTTATTGCCAAACTTCTGATCAAAATTCATCATTATGTGATGTGCCAGTGTGTTCTCACATAAGCGACGAATGCAAAAAATAAGAAAGATGCGAAGCAAAAATTCTTTTTCGCAATATGATTTCTCCTGAAAGTCTGTGAGAACCGCGAACCTAAAAAAAATCTTTTCCGTGTAGGTATATATTTTTTTTTGTTCACTCTGACCACCGAATAAGTGCGGAGAGTTTCTCGCATTGTGTGATAATTTCTTGAGCACAGAATCCCAGGGGCTTTTGTTGGCAAGCCTCGCGCCATACATTGTGACACTGTGTCTCCCAAGTGGTGATGAGAGATTTCTGGTGAATTACATAAGATGAATTTGCGTTAATTTCTGTGTCACTCATGCAATCGCCACATTAATTGTAAAGCCAATGAACTATATGCTGAGAATGAGTAAGGTTTCTGCGGAGATTCAAGCATGAGACATTCACCAGAACGCATCGAGAAAGCCATAGGAGTGCCTCTTAAATGAATCTAGACTGGGTGGTCGCATGAAATGTTACACACCATCTCAAGGATTGCCAATCGTAAAAAAAATTGAGGAAGAAAAGGTCAGTGATTGAACAGTAAAGTGCCCGACTTGTTTGAGAATATACATATCTATTAAAGAATTCCTTTTATATGGAAAATGCTAATTAAATTCACACTCAATTAAGGTCAACCGATCAGTTGTGACTTGGGAGTAATTATGGCCATAATGTCTCACCGACACACCATTTCTCTCGCGAAAGAGAAAAACAACATTCACTTCCTGCCGTTGTGACTCTGCGCGTCTTTGGAATCAAAGTGAAAATACGATGCATATGCAAAATGAGTCAACTGGTTAAACCGCCTCTATTCTTTTCACCACCGTCTCAAGCTCAAATTTGCACTTAAGACTCACCCAACTGAGTACCATTCATGTAGAAAACTCTCTTTCCTCACGGATAAATATCAACTCTATATTGGAAAGCGGAACAATCTGTTCCACTAATGTTTTGGTGACTTATCCACTGACCATCCCCGCGAGCCCAGGGCACGTTTTGTGAATTGAGAGGTGTCTGTTGGTTAAATTACGTGATCATTATTGAGATTACCGTACGCCAACGTGATCAGCGAATTCACTCGGAAACTGAATCACTTTTAACCAGATGGTTGATCACAAACACCCAGTGGATTTACTTATTCAGCCAAAAGTAGCTTAAAGAAATAACGAGAGATACTTTTTTGGGAGCATTTCGCACTCTGTGGCGTACAAAAAAGAGGGATAAATTGATGAAGAATAAGAAGATAGCAAAAAGAAGAAAGAACTCACCATTCAACACGAAAAAAGAACACACATGGGACAAAAAACAGCAAATAAAATGCACAGGCACGATTTGACCCCCTTTGCACAAGTACTTTGGTAACATACGCTTATTCTTCAGAACACCAACGGCAACTCCTTCACAATTAATTTCACTCCTCTCACCAAGAAAAGCCCATCAACCCACTCCAACTCATCCACAACTCGACAAGCATCTCACAAATTTTCCACTTTTCACCTTCATCACCCAATCCATTCACAATGTGAGCCTCGCTGTCGGAATACTAACAATTTCTTTGCCTTAAACAGTGCTATCAGAACACGTGACCTATTTCGCGCACACCAAAAACGTAACACCACGGAATTGAGTATATTGAAATGCTGTGAGTGTTGCTGAAGAATCAACAGCAAGGTGAGGAAAAACAACACACACCAAAATTGCCTAATTACATATTATTCTGCCAATTTCCAATGTAGCAAAAATACTCCAGTTTATGTTTGCTCTATGGTGGAAAAAAACAACACACAGTATATATTTTTCACCACATTTCACACCAAAATGAAAAAGATCTCTCTCAACATTAAATTGCAAGAGAGCGCCTGATCACATTGAATTCAAATGCCACGTTGTTGCCTCCGTCGATTCTCGCGACCAACTGACATTAAAACAACTCGATGGGGTCTCTCTGCTGCGCCTCTCGAGGTTGGCTTCTTGTAAAATTCGCCAAAGGTGAGTGTACAAGAGATGCGAGAGAATTCACAACACTCACACATTTTCTCCTCCAGTGACTCTACCCAGCTGAAAGGCAGACAGCAAGACAACGTGCTTCACATGAAACACTAACCAGATATGAGTTGCATTACTCCGACTCATAAGCTGTACGAAAATGCAAGAATAATGCCTTCTTAAAACTAGATTTACCTACATTTCAAATGTCCTGCACCATGTCCTCACTTGATCCTAAATATGGCGTTCTGCTTTGTGATCATAGCCAAATTAAAGGTGCGCTTTTTCTCAAAATTATTCTCCTCACCTGAGAGAGAAATGCCTGAAGTATGAAATCTGCTTTGAATGTGTCCCTACAAAGAAAATGAAAATGATGTATTGATAAACGGCTCCAATTTATAGGAATTATATAGAATAAGTATCTTGCGCAATGTTCGTGATTTACGTTGCGTGGTTCAAATGCGATCACTATTTAGATAAAATATATAGTGTATTTATTATAATCAGAATCGCCCAATGTATTGTGCTGTCGAAGAATTTATGACTGACAATTTCCGTCAATGATATCTCAGAAACTCACATTTAGGGACACGCCTGATGAGAAATTTCAATACCATTCTCAATTAGATAGAAGCTCTGGTAATTTTTCATCTCCGAGAGACTTAGCGTGAAGATGGACAAAAGTACAGCTTGGTCCGGTCCGGGAAACTTCCTCCTCTGCCCGGATTTCTTGCCTCTGTGCCTGAATTTTCCGAATGGCTTCTTTTCGTTCCCCACACTGATTCTCGCGAAATCACAAAACGTCAGACTTCCCCAAAATCAAAACATTCCCTTAACCAACACTGTTCGCGAGGTCTCGAAGCAAAATCTCATATTCTTCAACGGATATCATGTATTTTTTCAGAGAAATTTTACAATTCTCCAACAATGCAGGGAAAATGCACAGCTATGAACTATATGAATTACTTTTTGCCACCCTCCTCGCCACCCTTTCCCTTCTTCTTCAGTCCCAGCACAGAAATTAACGCCTTGGGTGAGGGATCGCGGCCACGGAAGCGCCTGAACACTTCAGCAGGAGCACAAGAACCGCCCATGGCCAGAAATGTGTCTCTAAAACGTCTCCCCACTGTGGCAAGAACTTCTGGATTGCCTCCAGCTTCATGGAAGGCAGAGTACACGTCTGCGGCGATTACACGTGACCAGACGTGACTGAAATATGCTGCTGCCCAGTCTCCAGAGAAGATCGGCGTGAATGAGCAGGGATGAGCGTCCTTCTTCTCCAGAGGAAGCGTCATGTACTTAGGCCACAGTTCTCGCATGATGTCTATCCAGAAGTCCTTGCGTGAGTACAGTTCCATGTCGAATGCGGAGTAATAGAGTTGCTGACAGAGATCGTAGCCCGCAAAATGTGTCCGGGAAGCTTGAATGCTGCCCATCATGGCATCCGACAGTGGATCCTCAGTGGCATAGTGTGAGGAGATCTCTCGCAGTGTCGTCGAATTGTATAAGAAGTGCGACATGACGTGACTGACTACTTCCACAGCATCCCACTCAATGTTTGTCGCTCCCGCCACTTCTGAGTAGTTCACTTTGGTCAGAAGTTGCTGCAGTGCATATCCAAATCTCTGGAAAAGCATCTCCACATCCTCAAATCCAAGAAGTGATGGTTTTCCGTAGATGGGCGACGGAAAGTTGAAGATCAACGCCGACAGTGGCTTTGTATTTGTCACTGAACTACGATTTCTAATCCCAACTGTCCAGCCAAAGTTGTCCTTAGTGTGCATCTTAACATCCTCACGCGTATACAAGTCTAGATAGAATCCTGCCACGGGCTTATCCTCATCCAACACGTCAAAGTATCGCACATCCTCATGCCAAGTATCCACGCCTTGACGCTCTACAATACGAATCTGGAAGAGTCTCTCGCACAACTCCAGCATTCCTGTCAACACTTTCGGCAGAGGAAAGTACTCTCTGATGATCTCCTCATCGTAGTGATGTAGAGCTTTGAGCTGCTTTCGCCTGAAGTACGGGATGTCATGAGCTTCTAATTGTCCCTGGAAGAAGTTCAGTTTTAGAATCTTGCTTACCACAAACACGTAAAACTTACCTTGAAGCCGAATTTCTCAGCAAATCCTCGAAGACTCTTAATCTCAGCATCCTGGGCTGGTTTGGCCTTTTCACGCAGCGCTTCCAGCATTCTCGTTACATTCTCCCTGCTCCCCGCCATCTTCGTCTCCATGGACATGTCCATGAAGGAATTGTAACCCAGCATCTTCGCCTGATCGCGCCGCAGGAAGCGAATCTCCTCTATTGTCGTACTGGTGGCCAGGGATTTCTCACCGAAATTGGAATTGCGTCTGGTCTGTGCTTGCCATACATTCCAGCGCATTGTGCGGTCTGGACAGTATTCCAAGAAGTTAGCCGCCACTTGAGGCTGCAGCGTGACAAGCCAAGGTCCCTTTGTGGGATGCGTGGGATCTTTGGCGAATAGCTGCAGCACTTCCGGTGGGAAATCCCTCACAACTCCGTAATCTTCGACCACATGATTGAACTGCTTCGTAGACAATTCGACTTTCTGCCTGAACTTTGTCCTTTCTTCGCCCAGCTTGATCAGAGCATTGTCCAGAACTGCTTTCTGGTGACTATCCAATTCTAGGCCGTTTAGCTTCCCCTCCAGTGCGTACTTCTGGATAATCCTCTTCTGCTCCTCGCTCAAGTTCTCGCTGCCCTTCAAGTGGGCCTCCTTGATGGCTTTGTAGATGTTGTTACTGGAGAATTTCGCCATCCGGGCGCGCCGGGCTCTGTCGTGAATCGTTATGTAACTCTTTGTAGGCATCAAAACACTGTTGCCCAAGTAGAGTGTCTTCGCCACACCCCAAGTTGTCTCCAGTGCAGACCCGATGTGCTCCAACGGGTCCAACACCTCCGTGAAGACATCCTTCACCGCCTTGCCGGTCACCTGAGCATCCAAATCCTTCACCTGCTTCTCCATGTCCACCGCCTGCTTTCCAATCACCGACACGCATTTCTCCACTGTCACCGTACCAAACTCCGGCAGCCCATCCTCGCGCTGCAGCGGGTTCTTCTCCGGCAGATCCTCGCCGATCTCTGGGACTCTGCAAGACGACAATAAGTGATTTCGAGGTCAATCTCAGACCTAACCTGTAAATGCTCTGTTATTCACTTCTCCAGACCAGACATACTCACAGAACAATGTATCCAAATCTCTTGGGGCACACATTGAAGTTAACCCGCGTCAGCAGGGCGCGTTTACCGCACAGAGACACAGCCATTCTTGATAATTAGCACATTTTTCCTACTCCATCCGCAATGTTTTTCACTCAGCGAGCGATTCTAGCAATTTTTTGACACCCACTGTAATTGTAGCCAAGTTCAGAGTGAAATCGTGTTCTAGCACAATTTGAAGTTCGAAAACCGTTTATAATTCTCTAATTGCACTTTATAAAAATTAACAAATTTTCTCTCACACAGTAGGAGGATAAAAATTTCTTGAAATATGAAAATTTAATGTTTTGGCTAAAAATTTCTCATTGGAAAAAATGTAAATTTTCATAGATATCAGTTTTATTTTTTTTTCTCCTTTTTCTCTCATATAATCTAGTTTTGTTAATGTAGGTAATTTTGGTTATTTAGCAATTAACTTTGTCCACACCACTTTTAGATTCAAGATTTTCGTGATGATTCTTAATCCTTACAATTCAGAAATTTAGAATGTAGAGCAGATGAGAGAAACTTTTCGTTGATGAACACACCCAAAAGTCATGATATTGCCCACCCTTTTGTGCCTTTTGAGCCCTAATTGATCATAAAATGCCAGAATTTTCCTAATATCCGGCCAAAATCCCTCATGAAAATCACAGCAGAGACGAAAGAAAGGGCAAAATCTGGATTGTTCAATTTTCGGCGGTCAAACAAGGTAAGAAAATACGCCGTGCTAAATCATCCAGTGGCCGGATTATTAATTCCAGTCCGCACGGCTCAATTTTGATTTCTAATAAAACGCTTCCGTTGAGGGCAAGAGAGATGTGGCGTCAATTGCGTGGCTGGAGTCTCAGTGTGAGAGAAAAAACGTGATTAGAATAACATCCCTTCTGGCGTGAAGTTCACCGATGCGGGCTGATTATGCTGTTAATGATGGAAAATACCACACTGTAGTTATTTATTCATGGACAGGCACAGCATCTCCGGAGTCACACTTTCACGCTCACTTTCGCGCCTCCGGAGGGTGAGCGTCCCACTGAGAGCCGCCAAGGAAGCCCAGAAGACAAGGAGGGAATTTATTGCAGTGCCGCTGCCAGATAAATTGGCGTCATTAATTTGATTCTGCGCGAAGGATGATCTCGGAGGTAGGAATAACTGCCTGGCGCAGCAGGTCCAGGCCACCGATCGCAGGCTCACATGGCAAGGGAAGTCAACCGCAGGCCGCAAGATTCACCGCTCCTGCTGCTCTGTTCCTGTTTTCCTTCCACAATATTCACGAAGAGTGGGAGATCCAAAGCAAAAATTCGCACACGCCGCGCAGAAGTGCTGAATTGCAGCTAATTTATATTCAACGATTTTCTAAAGGTAGTACATTTCAGGAAAATCTTTGAAAAAACCCCCCAAAAGATATGACGGCGTGAGACAAACGTTCTCTCTAAAACAAATTTTAAGTTCAGAAACTATAGTGTCCTTCGAAGAGTGTTACGAGAAAATAGTAGGTCGTGGAAATAAATGAAGCATATAAAAATTATTACAGCTCACGGATAAGTCTACGGATTGCCGGCTCAAGTATTTTTCCAAATTAGCTTCAAACAGTGAGCTAATGCTAGACTGGTATGTATAATAAGAATGACTCATTTTCCCTTTCATCAACAGTGTTGCATGGCTTGCGCTGACTCTGGCGCGTACTTTTCTCTCTTCGCCTGAGCACAGATGCGCCGAGAGTGGCTGCTCTACGCTTATGCCCTCCTCCAGTGTGTGTATTTTCGACCGCCGAGTCAGTCGCATTCTATCCTCCGTGGGAGCGAGTTCTAAGGCTCTTCTCTCCGGCATTTCTCGTGATAATAGTGACTCTCAGGTGAGCGTGGACTTTTGCGAATCCGTGTGTAGCCACTTCCCATTATGGGGGTGTAGGAGGTTCAGTGAGCGTTGACTGACGACAGGTTTTAAACAAAAAAGGATCCTTGAATATTTCGTAAATCATGCACATCGGACAGTGTGTTATTGTGCTCGCGATTGTGATGAATGTGCAGAAGAGCTGGGCAATTCCATCGGACATCTACATGAAGATGTTCGCTGTACAGCCTCCGCCAGATCCGTGCTATGACGAGAAGCGTCCCAGGCGATGTGTGCCGGATTTCGTGAATGCTGCCTTCGGAACTCCGATTACAGCTTCCAGCACGTGCGGCCAGCGCGGACCGTCGCGCTATTGCGAACTTAGCGAACCCCTGAATCCCGTGTCCAGTAACAGTGCCGCGCCATCAGGAACAACTACCACTTGTCAGATCTGCGATGACACAAATCCCAAGCGACGTTTTCCGTCGGCTGCCCTCACTGATCTTAACAACCCCAACAATCTCACTTGCTGGCGCTCCGAATCTCTGCCCGCCACTGCTCCTGGTCAGTTGGACAATGTGACTTTAACTCTGTCTCTGGGGAAAAAGTACGAACTGACCTACATCAGTCTCCAATTCTGTCCGCGGTCGGTAAAGCCGGATTCCATGGCGATCTACAAGAGTGCGGATTATGGGAACACTTGGCAGCCTTTCCAGTTCTACAGCTCGCAATGTCGCAAGATCTACGGTCGACCCAATAGGGCCACAATCACGAAGACTAATGAACAGGAGGCGCGTTGCACTGACGCTCATCGGCACTCTGGAGACAATGTGGGCAACCAAGGTGCAAGGATTGCCTTTAGCATCCTCGAAGGTCGTCCCTCAGCTTCCGACTACGAATCCTCACCTGTGCTGCAAGATTGGGCCACCGCCACTGATGTTCGGGTGATCTTCAATCGGATCCAAATGCCTCAGGATCCAGGAGATGAATTCATCCTAATCGGTCCTCAGCAGACCAGCAAGTTCCGCGACGATCATGCAGCCAATGCCATCGAGAGCATCACCACCTCAACATCCACAGCCACAAGCATCACTACTCACCACTATGCTGTGTCCGATTTCGCCGTTGGCGGCAGATGCAAGTGCAACGGACATGCCTCCAAGTGTCTCCCGATCGGCCGCGACGGGCAACTGGCGTGTGACTGCAAGCACAATACCATGGGCAGAGACTGCGAGCGCTGCAAACCCTTCTACTACGACCGACCCTGGGCCAGAGCGACTCAACGAGAGGCCAACGAATGCAAAGGCAAGTGCATTTGTTCAAAATCCCTCAATTGACTGCAATCAACCCCAAAGTGTGTGCAGAGAAGCTGAAGATAATTTGATCGGTCCACCCACGGAAAGTTGTTGTGCAATGTGTGGGAAAAGGACGAGGATGTCAAGACAAATTTAAGATGATTTTGCTCAGGTATCTTCGTAAAGATATCCCAGACAAAGTATCTTACAACAAAAACACCCATTATTCGAAGATGATGTGAAAGAAATGCACTTCTTCGAGGTGTTCCTGCCATGTTTTTGCTTGCGAAGAAGTGTGACAAATGCCAGGAGAGAAACATAAAACATGTCAGGAATGCAATGGGATTTATGTGATTCCCAAATCTTATTCATGACATAATACACAGAGCTACATTATGTTGGAAAATTGACGTATGAAAAAATATGCAATGCATAAAACATAACATCAAAAATATACCTGAAAAAATTAATATTCATATTAATTTAACAGTTTAATGAATTTTTGGAGTTCATACTGGTCAGCCTGAATGCGGAGGAACTATACATAAGTATAGCGAAATTTGAATTATGTTATAACGCGTGAAATGTAAATGTTCCCACAATCTGGATGATATTTAATTCCGTCTATAGAAAAATTGAGTATTAATAGTGAGAAATGTTCAACTTTCCAGAAATATTGAGAGCTGATTTTTGGCTCAGAGGCTAATTGTTGCATCAGTCGCCGTGTTTTTCACGCGAAAGATTGATTTCAGAGACAACGAAATATGATGGGTTAAAACTGTCGAATTTTTTCTACTGTGAGATTTTTGACGATATTTGTTTCCTCATGCGAGAAAAATGGGACCATTTGATTTTGGTGGCTGTCAGACACATTGGCAGGAAGAAAATGAACACAACAAAGGGATTTTCTAGGGTGTGCATGTGCGTAATTTATTTTCCCGGGTCCTTTTCACTTCAATTTTCCATCTCTTTGTTGTGCCATTTCTTGAGGGACACGAATTGGGGTGTAATATCAAATTTTTCTAACAGTGTTTTTACCGTTTTCACTCTTGCTCTCTGGAGTTCATCGAGAGTCAGGAAAATAATTATCCAAATTCCCTTCCAAATTGTTGTTTTTTCGTTCACAAGGGGCACTTTTTCAATTAGAGACAACTTTCTTTGCCATGGCGAAAGAGTGAAAGGTGGATGGAGTAAAGGGAAAAAATGAATTTCACTGTGAAATTGAATGACTCGCGGAAATTCTCTGGTGGTCCATTTTTCCATCTCTCTGTTTGCCTATTGTCGGTTTGTCTTTGGGGTGAATACAGAGCAGAGGAAATAATACACTGTGTCTTATAAAATATCGCTATATCGCAAGACATTCAATTGACCAGTACACGTTTCTCGTACCTTCCTCCTGAGCCTTTTTCTCCTCGTCTTCTTCGCTTTTCTCCATTGCATGGGTACGTTAGTAAACCATCTCGACGAAGGTAATTCATTGATTTCTAATTGAATAGCCGTTAGGGTCGTGTGCTATAATTTTGCAGTCAATTGTTTGCATTCAGTCAATATTGCAATGTATTTTTATTCCATGAATGACTCTCAATCTCTCTCTCTACACTCCATGTCTTGGCAATTCTCCCTTGCATTAATGTTTATTTTGATAAATTGCCTGAATTTCTTCAATGTTGACTCTGCACTAGAAAATTTACTACCATTGTCCTCAGGAGTTGCGCAACCAAAACAGGGGATCAATCGAAGGAATGCCCCAAGTGTTTCTAAATGACTAAAAATGAAAGAGGACCCTCTTAGAAGGCATCCATATGATAATGTTGACGCACAAACTCAATTACCAATCTCACCTTTGCAGCGCGATGGGTAAAATTGCGAAGATGCGGGGTAGATGAGAAGTAATGTCATTAGGAATGTGTCGAGTGGTTCTCCACAGAACTGCGGTGAGATGGTGTGTCATATCACATCACTTGTCCCCGAATGCCGCATCGACCATCCACTTAATGGTATTAAGATATCAAGGAGAGACACCTCAGCCTTCCCTCCCGTCAAAGCTTGGGGATATTTTAATTCAATTTATCCTATCATCATGTCGCAATTTTCCCTCAAATTTCCACCATCCTCTATAAAGACCACTGGACAGATTTCAACTCACGAGACTTGCCTCTGGTTGGTCTCTAACTATATGATGTCTTGGCGATTATTGGCTAAAATGCCTAGTCCAGCGATATGATTAATGAGTGGAATTAATGACAGTTTAATAGTTTCTATACGTTCCTCATCATGTCATCGATAAATTTTAAAGTATCCACTGTAAATCATGGCAGTTTGAGTGAATTTTTAGAAAATTTTGATAATATTAGTAATAACTGTTCAATGCGGACGCTCTCATTGTTTTATCATGCTCAGCATAATATTATACAGTCTAATATTATCAAATTACCCCTCTCAAGAGTGAATTATCGATATGCTGAATTATAGACTTTTGTGGGAAAATGAGTGATCGCTAATCTCATGCATAGTGCAATAGAGTTGTACTGTATATCGCTAGCGAAATAGATCAGAGATATATCTCAGTTTAATTATTCCACTTCATATTTATTCTGCACATCTCAATATATGAACATATTATTTGCGAAGCGCGTATTTGCCGTTTAAAGGCAAACACAAGGCCTCGGAAAGAGTGCAAGGGGGAGTTCAGGAACTCCGTCGTCCCACCCAGTACAATTCATTGAGTCATTAGAGATCCGTCTCACCCTGCAGACGTGCACACAGCACCGAAAATAATTAATTTCCTCAGGCATGGCAGAGACCTGCGATGTTTGTACCTCTCCTCTCTCGTGTGGTGTCTTCCGATGCACCAAACTTGGAAGCTGTGCCATTAATATACAGGGTAAATTACGTCTCGCCTGAGGTTGAATGATTGCTGGAGTTGAGATGGAAAGTGAGATAAATTTCTTTGATGCAAATCGTAAAATCAGAAATAAAATTGGCTACATGTAGTAAAATTGCAGCTTAACATCATTATTTTTCACATGAAGCAATGTGTTTGCTTAAAAAAAAGTGTCTTTCACCTTTTTTGCAACTGCCAGGAAATGTTTATTTAGTCAACAGTGTCGTGGATGGAAAATTGGCAGTGAGGGTTGGAGCTTTTATCCCTTGCAAGAAGCAACAAAGATCAAAATTCCCTTAAGGTAGAGACAGGAAATAGACTGTGCGAGTGGCAGAGGTGAAATCTACAAGAGGCTCCGACACAATATTTAAGCAAAAGTAAGAGCTTTTGCAAACACCAAACATGATTTGCACTTCGCGCTTTATCCAATTATTGCTCTTCTCCCAATAATGATGAGCTAATGGAGATGAATTCATCTCACCAGAGCCACTTTTCCAACCCCAAACCCTCAAGGCTTCCACTGAGGGAGTTGAAAATAAACGAGATAAATCACATTAAACTCATTTAACAATTACGCTGAGAGCAATTTTGCAGCGATACGATAATGGATAAATCGCGGGAAATTCAAACATGAAACTAACCCTCAGTGCACTTGTTATTGCGATGCCCCTAAGATATTTTCCTGTATTTGAATTGTCTGTGTTTCTCATTGAACAATACCCAAAATAGTAATTAACTCTGCTATGCCATACACGTGAGCTTTGAGAGTAGAATGAATATAAATGTTCATATCTGACAAAATTATTTTACCCATTGTTGGTGGTGAAAGACAAACAAATTATTTTTTGTAAAATTATTAATAATAATGTGGACGGAAATAGAACTTTTAATTATTAACTCATACATATGTAAATGAATGCAAATTGTGGCACGTATGAATTTGTAAATCAGTGTTTTTGAACACTTTAACTTTGATATTTGTCATAATTCCTCTGTGAAATTAATAAGAATCATAATAATCTTCTGAAACATCGGTTTTAGGAAAATACCATTAAATGTGCTGAAACTGAAATCGCTTTGTATGGATCTTGAGCGCAAAGTTGAAAAGCGTATTAAATTCTCTCTCGAATGCTTCGTCTTTGAGTTGCTTAATGTCCTTTGAGAGAATTTCTTCTGGTGGAAAAACTGTGCCTTAAGATTATAGAATGATATTCCACTTAAAATACTCTCTTCTTTGTTTCACTGATAACTTCTTATCGTAAATATCGTACACTGGGTTTTGCCCTATATTTTCCAAGTAATATCTTCTTCTCACTTAGAGTAGGAAAAAATGGAAAAAAATTCAAAATTTAATTTAGGATTCCATAAATACTCCGCTGTGCAATTTTTTGCTCTTAATATCGCTCTGAGCATGATGGAAATTGAAGAATTCGAGGGCAAAAAAGTCATTTAGAAAAAAAGGATTGAAATTGGTAAGAGAGAAAAGCTATCCTCTCGGTCGGATTTTGTTTGCTTATTTTTGTGGAATTCTTCAATCTCGTTGAAAAACATTTGGAATCTCAAACATTTTTATAAACTCTGAATTCTATCAAGTGGATACACTCGAGCATTTTCACCCTCAACATTTCAGGGATGAAGAGCGAAAGTGAAAAATATGCTGAAGAGTTGAATCGTCATTTTGTGATGTTTTCTCATCCTTTCACAATCGTGTTTCTTTGAGGATTTACTTCAAATCGAGGACGTCCGAAGAAAAATTTGTAATATCCCTCGACTAAATGCATTTTCCCTTACAAAAGGAGAAATAAATCATACCAAGATTATACTATAACAAATTAGTTCAATAAATCAGTGAAATTTCATAAAGAGCCTGACTTCTTGTAGTCTATGCTATATATAGAGGGAAAGTGAGGGTTGCACCCAGTTTAATGGCATTGTTTCATGCCCCATGATAAGGGTAGTTGAATTTACGCACTGATTAATACCAAGGAGGGTTGGTGGGCACGAAAAGGGGATCCAAGTGACTTAAATTAAGTCTATCTTCTGAATGTCTGCGGCACACAAAAAGCAAAATATCCCTTATTGATAAATTAAAGCAAAACATAGAGGAGAATATTCAACTTCTGGCT